GAGGAGGATTCGCATAGACGAGGCGTAACAACGGCGAAGGAGGTCGCCGCTTCTGTGGAGAAGCAGAGGCTGGGTGGAGGCGAAGGTGAATGGCAAAGTAGCGACGAGCGAAGTTACCTGTGGCACGAGCCGAACTAGAGGCAACGCGGCGGAGTCTTGGGAACGAGGTAGAGAATATGAATGGTAGGTAAGAGAGTCGGCATGAGGCTGGAGGCTTACGTTTTCTGCTGTCGATGACTGCATTAGGTTATTTTCGTACTCTCTACTCGATTGCCGTGCGAGCGGCCCACCCGCCCTCCCACTAACAGCCAAATGGCTGATCGGAATTGTCTTTGAAGGGTTTGGGTACCGCGGGAGTGTGGTCGCAGACGCAATGGCCTTCCCCACAATAAGTTAGTAGTGAGTACGGATCACGCGATGACGTTTAAGCAACGCGTGAACTGTAATCCTGTAAACACTGGCCACAAGAGCTTCTAATATCTCACATTTGTCCTCAAATGCGCATCGTTGGGAGTGGCCTTTCTCCCAACCGTTCGTCTGTTCCCTTCCCGCATCAGCATAAGTTATTGCTCAGTCCTGTCGTGTTGCGTTACATTAGCTAAGCCGCAAGCCGCCGGCTCAGCTGCGAAGCCCCTCCCAACAGCAACCCATTGTGAAAGTTGACTAGTGGCCGATAGTGATGACAGGTACCTGTGTTGCACTGCTAGCGAATCCTACGACCTCAAGGGCCCTGATAAGGGCCGAAGAGACACACGTGCGGCCCACTCGAGGCCAGCAGTAGGGCAATGAAGTAGGACAATATGCAAGATACTGACCCGTGGGTGGGTGAGTGGGGGGAAACTAGAGGTCACTGTCCCAGCGCCGGGACACACCTCTTGGTAATAGTAAAAGCACCGGCAGTTAAAGAACCAACGCGGTAGAAGTTTTGAGTCCCCTGCCGTACTGTGGTCCGGTACATGCATGCATGCGCCCTGCTTCCACGCACCACGGCAGTTCCTTCGCAGTAACTACTTGCCCCATCTCTACACTCATACTTTGCTTCGAGAAGTCGAAGTGCAACTGGATGGGGAGCATTAGCTTGGACTGCACAACGGCAATGTATTAATAGCTTAACAAACTTTTTTTATTCTTTTCCGTGTCCATAATTATGCAACTGAGCACGGTTGGGCGCAATTAATGTGAAGGTCTGCCAACAGCTTCTGATCAGCCCATGGCGTGGCGGATTTATACGGCACAGGTGGCAAACATACAGCACTTGCATGGCAATCATGTCCCGTTTCCTCCTCTTCGGCATTCCCATTGCCTCAGCGGCAACTTCTGTGAACGTTTGTATCCCAGGTCACCTCATTACTAAACACGGCTGCGCTTCATGAGCATCTGCGTTGTGCTGGTTGCCCCAACAAACCGGGAAAGCAGGCAGTCATAACGGCATGCTCGTTAGTGACAGGCAATTATCATAACGTACACGTACCGCGCCGGGAGGAGCTGCGAAGGACTGCTGCCTAGGTGTCAGGGCCGGGGCGGCATGTGAGGATTGAAGGGAATCTCGCTGAAAATTGCAATGTCAGGTAATTACAGAAACGAGCACGCTTTGAGACGTTCGCTATTGAATAAAGCATTGGATTTACGTCAGCAATGTTCGTAATAGAAGCTTTTATGATTCACAGTCAAACACCTGGGAAAAAAAATCCGAGGGGCTCCGTTTTGGAAAAGTCACGGAGGGTGATGGAAGTGGTCCGAACCCACCATTGGTACTACGCTTAAAACTTCACTTAAATCCATACAGGCTAGGCCAGTACAGAAAATGTGTTCCCCCCACAACGGACTCCGCCATGGACCGCGCGGTTCACCGCATTCAATGAATGGGGCTCATACCTCAGCCGCAATCCTTGCCCTTGATATTAGATTTTACAGTGGGTCCGACTGGGACACCGGTAGTGCTGACAGCACCCAACACTGTAACGCCAGGAAAGGCACGAAGGCCCGAAGAGATACCAGCGACCGGACCGCCCCGTACCGCAGAGCGGACACCACCAAGCAACCAGAGATGCGCCTTTCACCGCACTCCTTAGGGAAGAGGCCCTAAGTGCGGCTCAGGAGGGTGGCCAGGATCACACACAACAAAAGGCCGTATCAAGGCCACAACTAGGAAAGTCGCCACGACGGGCCCCCGCAGAACGCCTGCGCGGGTTGGGGGCCCCAATACTGCCCTTCATGGAGCCTTAGCTGCGCTCCAGCATGGATAGTCCAGATCTGCCAGGCGTAGGATAAGCTCCTGTCCATCCAGAACCCAATGCCCCCCTCCTGAACGTTACTCTCCTGTGGGCGATGTACCTCTATGTTACCCTCTGCTCAGGCTTCCCATGGACCCTAGGCACCCTAGGTGCGGTGCGCTGCTCCAAGGACTTTAAAACCTGGCGTTACACGTTCAAATCTTGGACATGCACGCTGGAGCTGGACATGGGAGCTGGACACCCTGGCACTCAGGCGCCGCCGCGGCCGCCCTCACCCTCATCCGAATCTGACTCAGACTCAGAGCTTAGCACGGTTGGCTTTGCGCGCTCAGTTTCCAACGTGCGCTCCGCAACCTCCTTGAGCACCTGCGCGATGAAGAGCTCCTCTTCAGGCAGCGGCCGCTGGTGGCGCGTCCGGTAGCGGTCTTCCAGCTTGCCGAGGCGCTGGCGTAAGTCCTCGACGCGGGAGTGCAGCTCTACTGCGCGCCGCGTCGTGAGCTCGGCTGCTAGGTCCCGGCGGCTGCACAGTAGCCGCGCACTGTCCTGCGCTGCTTCAGCTTCTTCGGCATCCACCTCATCACCCGTAAGGCTGCTTAGCACCTGCAGTCCGGTGTCGCTTTCATCTTAGCGAATGCTAGGAATGCAATCCGCCAGATCGAGCCTCTTGGGCGCTTACATGGAATGGCAGTAGGTGGTCGACAGCGTCTTGCAGGGTAGTAAAGGGTTTGTTTAGAGCGGTGGTGCAAATACGTTTGCAGTCCTCCGCTAAGAGGTCAAGCGAGCGCTTCTGAGCCTTAGATTCTGATTCTGTTGTTGGCTTTTTGGACGGTGGTGGTTTCGCTGCCATAGCGTTGTTTAGTGACCAACTACGCTATAACTCTCGTATCTCAACCGCGAGGCATCGCCATAAGAAAGACGAAAATCGCATTGTATACGACATATTTTCAACGATACGGAAGGTGTTGCGCCAGTAATCGACGTATCAGCTGCAAGCCAGAGTCAGCTTGTTGTACAACGACCTGTGGTAGTCAAACCAAGCAAACCTGCGGCTATAAGGCAGCCTTATAAAAGTTAAATTACTTCAGAGTTCTCCCATAACACCCAAAGCTCTAATTCTCTTGTGACGTGCCTACTTCTTTCTCTGAGACACTTCAATCAACTAGCATGTTCTTCGTGTAGCTATGCAACTCTCCAATCCATAGCATTATTGCGCTCTTGATGGGGCCTGCCTGCTTGCGTCGAAGGGCGCTTTGGGCAGAAGAGATGCGTTGACCGACAGCATGCTTTGCTACAGGGCCTTCATGGCCATGTAGCCTTGCCCTCAGCACGCTGGATGCATTACAAGTCAAGGGACTTCCCTGTCCGCGGGATGTGCTCCATTCGGCCATGACACCGCGGCATCGGGACCGTAAAGTCACGCTGATCATATGCCTACTCCTGGAGCAGCAATAAGGCAACGCTATAAAGTTGTTGTGCTCGGCGCCCCAGCTGCGGGCAAGACCGCACTCGTACGGCGCCTGGCCGATGGCTCCTTCGTCGAGGGCGCACGCCAGCGTGGCCTCGACTTCTACACCCGCCACATCATGCTGCGCGAGGACGTTACCGTCGCGCTGCAGCTCTGGGACCTGAGCGACTGCCCTTGCCGGCCCGAGGACGACCATGCGCCACTCTCTGCCTACGTCTTCAACAGCCAGGCCGTGCTCCTGGTGTACGATGTATCCTGCCCCTCCTCCCTGGAAGCCCTGCGCTATGCGCTGTGCGCGGTAGAAGCTGCCAGCACTGCTGGCGGCGGCACTCGGCCCTACCTAGCCCTTGTCGCCAGTAAATGCGACCTACAGTGGACCGCCTCAGAGGCACTGGCGCGTGAACTGGCTGCGCGCCACGGCTGCGTACGCTACACCCTCTCTTCGCGAAGCGGCCAGGGCGTGGATCGCACCGCAGTGCAGCTGGCCTGTGACCTGGCGGGCGTGCCACTAATCGCCGCCACAGAGTACCGTGCCCGTTTCCTGGAGCCCGATGGCACATGTTTTTCTCCTGAATGTGCTGCTGACATGGAGCAGCCGATGGCTGTTGCACCTGCGGCGGCACCAGCCATCACCGCTGCAGCTGCAGGTACGTTTTCCGCCTCGCCTCCGTTGGTGGCTTCAGTGCCGTCGGGGCCGGCAGCTGCTGCCGCGGCTGCCCTACAAAGGCAACAGACGGCAGGGAACTTTCACGCACGTGCACCGGCGTACCAGGCTACCGCACAGACACCGCTACAGGCGTCTCGGTATGACAGCTTGGATGAGCTGGGGATATACGGTATGCGCAGCGTCGAAGGTGACGGCGGCCAGCGGTGGCAGCCGATCAGTCCCTCGATGATACCCAGCCGGCAGGCGACGGTCATCAGCAAGACAGGGCCGCTGGGGCAGCGCATCCGCAGCGGTAGTCCAACGCCGCCGCAGGTCCCGCTTGAGGTGGACGGGACACTGCCGTCAGTACCGCCACAGGCGGGCGTCTCGGAATGCTGTGGCTCGCCTTCACTGCGACATCGGCAGCGGTCCCCGAGGGCCTGGAAAGTGTTGTTTTGCTGTCTGCTCCCGCGGCGATAGGAAAGACGCCCAATAGCCCGGAAGGTCGGGCCCCAGTCGCAATAGCCCAGAAGGCGGGGCCTTGCACATTGTGTGGATCGGCTGGTCCGATAGCGGGGATGTACGATGCACTTAAACCGTCGCACAAGGCCGGCGCTTCGTCAGGTGGGTGGTTATGCTACAGCTGCAGTTGATGCAAGTTTTGTGGGGGACATCATGTAGATATTTGCATGTTGCAGTACAAGGTTTGACACGTGCTTAATTGGCTAGGGTACCACGCGTTGTCGTCTCGGGCGACATGTCTCTTACTCTATTCTGCTCCTATCACATCTGCACACAATCCTAAGGCTGCGCCTGCTGTGCTGCCGCAGGTAACAGCCTCCACAGCCTTCCACTTCGGACACCAGGGTCAAGCTACCATATATCCCAACGCCCGTCTGCTTCGCATCCCAAAAGACCGTCCGTTTCAAGATGACCCACATTTGAAACGTCGGCTGCAGCTGATCACGCAGCTGAGGAGCACTCCCTAATCCCCGACCGATAATGCGCAACAGATGCCTTTGTCCTCGTTGCCCTGGCAGCTGCAGCTACTACTGCCAGAAAGCAAAGCAGCCCCGGAGGCTGCCCAGGCACACCAGACCGTCCCAGTCATGACAGCCGTCCCCATCGCCCGCACAAACACACACAACTCCTGAATAATACATTCACAGCTGTCATACTTTGTACGCACACACATACACGCATCGTCCATCCCCGTTTTCCCTATCCCCGGGACCACTATCTTCACGCTTCGAAGAGCCTTTGCTGCACTCCAGCCAACGGAAGGAGCTTTTGACACCTAGCCAGCGAGCAAGCCAACCTGCCGGCCAAGTACCGCTCTGCTCTGATGCCAAACGAGACGGACGCGCGAGTGCACGAGGGCTGGCATCCTCGAGGGACGTGTAGTAACTTTCAAGCTGCACCATTGCCCACAGGCTGGCAGTTGTGAAACAACCCAAGTATGCGGCAAACAGTGGTTACTGCGCTATTGTTGCACCGGGACCAAACGTGATTCGGCACATGTGTGTATGTGTGCATATGTGTATGCACGCATGCATACGCGTGTGAGTGTGTGCGGTAGTAATACGTGCTGCATTTGCATTTCTGGGGCGGCCGTGGCTATATGCTCCGTTGTGTCCGTTCACAGAGATTTGACCGGCATTGGTTGGCTCGTCGATTGCTTCATTGAAAAGTCCTTAAGGCAATTAGTCACAGAAGAGACCACTCAGGCCGATCCGGCCTTTAGCGTCCTATACCGGTCCGCCTACTGTCCCCCGTGCGTCAAACGGCAACTGCGTACATAATCGAGATGAACCCGTTCCTGGTCATCGACGGCTGGGAAGGAGCATGTACCAGAGCTCCTAGTAAGCACTCCTCCTTACCCTCCTCCTCCACACATACCACCTTCCCCACTAAACGTGCCATGGTCGGACGTTGTGTGGCAGGCAGCGTTGCCCCTTTTCGGGGAGGCCCGATCTGGAGCGGGGAGGGAGCGCCCTTCGCTCGTCATGTCCTTAAAGTCGAAAAGTTCGGTACCCCCCGTGAGCGCCGGTGCCCAAAACCTCGCACTGCCTTACGCCTGCACGGTTGTCTCATGCTCCACCTCTTGCAGTTCCTCATTCCCATCGATGTAGTTGTCGATCTCCTGTTGGCTGAATTGGTACGTTTGTTGGCACAGGTCGCACGTGACCTGTGGCAGCCGCGGAGGTGATGTTGCTGTGAAAATGACGATTTGGGGTCGGGAAGCTGTGGAAAGACGTTCCGAGGTTGAGAATCAGATATAGCCGCGTCGGTGTTTGGCAAGTAGCCCGTCTACCATGAATACTGATATTGTGTGAGGTGACAACACCTATATAATACTGTTATAAGATGCGCATATAGGTTGTTGAAGGTTGAGAACATAACGTCGAGTGCAGAAAAACACAGTGGAAAATCGAGGCCGTTTTTTATACTACCAGGACTGTAACCGCCAGCTCTCGTCAAAATCTCCTAAGCGGAAGTTCCACAATGTCATTGTGCAATTGACTCTTGGCTAGACGTGACGACGCTGTGCTGCTTGCTGTGCTTCCACACGTCGCAGCGGACCTGGAACTACACATACATGCATTGCGTCGATGCCATAATGCTCATCAAAGACAACACAGGGCTCGCGGATCCAAGGGGGTCATCGAGGTGGACACATGAAAGCACGTGGAACGGCGAAAAACGAGCTGATCGCCAAAACGCCACCACCACCACCACTAAATAAGTGATGCCGACCCCGACACCATCAGCCAGCCGATCTGGGTCGCACGGTGCCACTCTGTCCACCTCGCCAGCCGAAAAAGCCAACCACCCCACCGGCTCACCTCCAGCTTCCCTTCCTGCTTGATGATGTCGGCGACCTCCTGCTTGCCCAGTGCCGCGACGGCTCGGATCATGCGCTTCTTCAGCGCTTCCTCCTCGCACGGGCCGTACCTGCCGCGTAAGTAAAGCACACACACGACGAGAGAAAGAAAGAAAACATAGAAGAAAGAGTGAATAGGAAGATTCCGAGCCCTCAAAATTGCAGCCACCACCACCCAAGGCATCCTTGCGGCGTCCTGCGGCTCAGGACAGGGCCTAGCACCTCTTCTTTTGTAACTTGTAACTTTAAAACGTTAGGTCCGTGCTTTTTAACCCCGTGCCGCACCTCTCCCAATCCCGAGTTCAGCGCCTCGGCGGCTTCCTGGTCAAGCCTGACGCCGTGCCAACGGTCCCGAACCTCCTGCCTAAGCATCCCCTACTTCTGCACTGCAATCTGCCCACTTCCCATAATCCAATCCCCAACTGCGCCACGCGGCATCCGACCCGCAAAAAGCAAATCAGCACATGAGTTTCACGTGCACACGCAACCGTCGTTTTCCCGCTGCGTATGAGCACCAAACAACCAAACATCCGAATTCGCACGGCGCGTTCTGCCAGGGCAGCCACGGAGGCTGCGGCAGCGGGTGTGCCTCGCAACGGGGATACTGCAAGATTGCCGTCACTACCCCCATCTGCACCACCACCAGCAGCAGCAACTCCGTGCCACACCGCCCCTTCATCAACGCTAGCATAGCTCCTGCCGTTGGGGCAACGAAGCGTAAACCACCTCGTAAACCTACTTGGGCATGACAGTCTGGCCGTCTGGCAGCACGCCTAGGCCGTCCAGAATGCGTGCTGTGATGTCCTGCACACTCATGCCGTCGTTCAGCATGGTAGTGATTGTGGGCATGGTGGTCAGGTTTTGTTCCAGCTGGGCGAGCGTCTCCTCACTGGGGCCGGGGAGGCGAGGGGAAAGGAAGCGAAGGGAACGCGCATGGGAGGGGTGGGAGGAGAGGAGCGGCATGATACAAAGAAATAAAAGGGCGATGTCGCGGGCGGTGGAAACGGCGATCCAAACAAGCAACGTCGAGGGCCTGTGTGGCAAAAGAAGAGCAGCGACGGGTAAATCGTGTGATGTGTTCATCCTGATAACAATAATAGTTATCCCCGTGCGGCACCCCACCCCACCCCGCCCCGCCCCGCCCCACCTCACCCCGCCCCACCTCACCCCGCCCCACCCCACCCCGCCCCACCCCGCCCCAACTCACCCCGCCCCAACTCACCCCACCCCGCCCCACCCCACCCCGCCCCACCCCACCCCGCCCCACCCCGCCCCGCCCCGCCCCACCTCACCCCGCCCCACCCCATCCCGCCCCGCCCCACCCCGCCCCACCCCACCCCATCCCGCCCCAGCACCTCGCTGCACGCACCTGCAGAAGGGCAGGATCTGAACCAGCCACCCTCCGGCGCTCTTCACCCGGCAGTCCCGGTCCAGAGACACGCCCAAACCCAGAGCGGAGTTGGTCTGCTCACTGTCCACCTAGAGGGGGCCAGGGCGGGGCGGGGCGGGGCAAAAAGGGAGTGGAGCGGAGCGGACGACCAGGCGTGAGCTCCGGCACACCAAGAAGGAGAGGCGCATAGAGAAAAATGCCACAGCCAGTGCCACCGCACCTTCTGCCGTGCGGCTTAAATGCTGTATCATTTTATATATTTATACACCTTAACCCCGTCACCCTCTGAACCCGGCCCGCTGAGACCTTGTCGGTGGAAGACCCCCCCTCTCTTCCGTCCATCCCATTCCCCCGCATTTCTTTCTCCCGCATTTCCTTTTCTTGCCTTATTATTTTCTTTTGTCTGTACAACGCCGGGTTCCGTGTTATTAACTGCAGTAACGTACCAGGTAGTTGGCCAGGTCCTCCGCCACCTCCCCCGACACGATCGGCACCATACCAGTGTACGGCTGGGGCTCCAGGGGGTGACTGCGAACAACCGCAAGGACCCCTGATGACGGGGTGGGGGTTAGTGGGGGGTTAGTGGGGGTTAGTGGGGGTTAGTTTGGGGGGGGGAGATAATGAGCGTGACGAGGAGGTGAAGGGGAATGAGTGAGGTTTGGGGTCTGATTCCACCACCACCACCACCACCACCACCAACAACAACAACAACGGGTAACACAGGGGGCACGGCAACGTCGCGCAGGCCATTGAGGCGAGTAGGTTAAGCCGTTCAGGACTATCCCACCGTCGAGAGCGCCATCGGGGGTTCATTCGCGTCAAGCAGTGAGTTTGGTCGTGTGTGGAATGCTTCCGCTCCCTCTCCCCCCTCCCTCTTCCCCCTCCTTTTTCCCTGCGCCGCTTCTGGCCTTATTCGGGGAGTACTGCAACTCAAGGTGTGGCACGCACACGCTCATAATGTTCCGCAGTCTGTGGTCTCCCCTCCCCCACCCGGCCAATCCCTCGATCCCACCAAAGTCCCCCCATTCACCCCGCTAAGCTCTATATGCACACATGCATACATACATATATATACAAACGCACACCGCAAGTACCCACCTTTCCCCACGGCAGCGCCCACATTAAGCTTGCCATCGGGACGGAGGGGCGGGTCCGCTGTGGAGCCGTACATGTTGTTGGGGGCCACGGGCCACAGTTGCACACATACATACGTACATACATACCCGCGTGCCGTTGCCGTAGGCCCGCCAAGCGCACACGGCAGGACACCCCCACCCGGGAAGGGAGCGGAAACAATGACGGGGGGAGGGTTAGCTGACCTCACAGAGTGCTTTGAAGGAAACCAACCAACGGACCAACCAATTCGGCAACCAACAACCGAGTGACCATATTTCATCCGCACGCCTTTTCCGCACCGCCTTTTCCACCGCACCCTGTCATGTATGCATGTCCGCTTTTTTCTTGCCAGTTGCCACCACTACCACCACCACTGCCACGCAGCACCGCCGGGGCGGGCGGCATGAGCAGGAGGAGCAGTAGCAGCACACAGCCTGCACACACATCCGTCACCTCCACATTCATGGAACATGGAAATGTGTTCCCCACGAGCCCCCATTCCCACCCACACATGCACCCATGTGCATCCACCCACCCAAACCCGCATTCCCACCCACCTGCCGGGTTGTTAACCTTGCCCTTCACATTGCCCCGCGTGTCAGCAATGGCCAGGATGGAGCCCGCCTCACCGTCACCCTGAAAAGTGATCTGGGGGGAAGAAGGGGGAGGAGGGTGAGGGTGGGGAGTCTTACCGTTGAGGGGGGAGGAGGGTGAGGAGCGGGTGGAGAAGGGAAAGGAAAAGGAAAAAGACACTGCCGCCACCACCTCCACGTCCCAGTCAGACCCACTACATGGGTTGCCACCCCCCAGCCACCAGCACCACCACTACCACTACCACTACCGACACCACCACCACCACGGCCTGCCACTCCGCACCTCACCTCGCCTCACCTGGCCATCCCCACACTTGTCAGCTCACCTGCACCTGCTCATCTTCCTTCCGGAAGGAGCCCATCAGCAGGGCCCCGAGCAGGGAGCGGCCCAGCGCGGCGGTCGCGGTGGGAGCCAGCTTGTGGCGCACTTGGGCCTGCAGCCACCCGCCAAACCAGCCAAACCCGCACCCGACACGCAGGCAGTATTGAGTACTTAGCACACACAACATCAACGACGTGGGGCATTAAGCAGGAAGCAAGAGGCGAGGAGCAAAGCAAAGCGGCTGATTAAAGGCCGATGCTCAAAGGAAGGGGGTTTAGGGTTTGGGGCGGAATGTATTAAGAGGGTATGATGCGTATGATGCGATGGGAGGGTGATGGGGCGGGCTCATAATGCGATATGCGCAAAGATAGAAGTAGAATGCAGTAGCATCATTTGACCTAAGAACCACATTTCAACCACAGAAAACGAGTAGTAGGAGTAGGAGTAGGAGTAGGAGGAGAGTGCGGAGAAGGGGAAAACCACAGGAGAGAAGCTGGCGCCGGGGTGTATGTGTGTGTTTCAAGGGAGCAGGAGGGGTATGTCAAGCTGTGATTATTGTTGTAGTGCAAGCTGCTGATGCGGGAGACGGGACGTAGGAGGGACTGGAAACGCGGTACAAAGGAGTTAGAGGCGGGCGGCGCGGTGACCCGGGTGTGACCCAATTGTAAGCTAGTGACCAAGCCCAGACGGTGAAATGGAGAGCGGGGGTATCGGCCGTTGTGACCAGGACTAAACAGCCTTAGCGAAGGAGGGTAGAGTAGATGAGAACGTCGCCGTAGGAAAAAGCTGGCCGGGGGGCCAGACAACCCCAAACGCACAAGGACCACCGCCTCACCTCGGAAACGAGCTTAGTGCCGTCCACGACGAGCACGGATACCTCAGCATTTGTTGACAGGCTGCGGGATGCATGCAGTTTGAGCTACGAACGCCGATGGCGAGAGCCGGCCTTCGACTTGCGCACCTTCGCAGTAGGACATCATCTCGTAATGCTGCAACTACAACAAAGCGGCAACGGCGCGGTGCCCGCCCATGACCGAAGACAGCATTACGTCTGGTTGTGCAAGCGGCCGACCGCCGTAGCATCATTTTTTGCGATATGGATATCGCCTAGCAAATTAAAATGAGATATGTGAAATACTATAAAACAATAGATATCTAAAGTTATAAAAGTTATTGATCGTGGTAGTCTGTTACCGGTAACGTTGGTGTGTGGTTCGGTATGAATTATAAAAGGAGCAGTTGACATGTGCCTTCAAGTACCCGCAACCAGCAGTCCAGCACATCCAGCATTTTGATCACGTTACCTGAAAATGCCATTTTACATTCGCAGCGTCATGGTTAGCCATCCTCCTCAGCGTTGGCGCCACGAGCCCCGTCCCGGTGTGGCCTTGCTGCCATGCCTTGCCAAGCAGTACTGGCCTTCACATGATAAGTATTTAGTTTACTAGAAACATGTTTCGATTCAATAACTAATTGTCGATGAAAGCCATGCTCGAATTTGTTAGTCAGGCAGAGTTACCACCCATGTGGTTAACGTGCCTAAATGGCCCCTTAATATTTGAGCGCGTACTGAAAGGTTCCGGTGCGGTGTTCAAGGGCTTCACCTGGTCCCGACCCGCCGGGTCTGCCTCCCACATGCAGAAGCAGCTGGGGCGTCATTGTTGCGCAGGTTGCGCAAAGAAGCAGCAGAATCAGTAGCAGCAGCATAAGAAGTACGCGCCCGCAGCGACAAGTTGGCCGGCAAGGCGCATCTCTAAGCCCCTCTGTTTACCACAATTGGCACATCCCCCGCCCCCCTTCCTTCCCTCCCCTTTCCTCGCTCCTCAAGGTTACATTACCCTCTCCTAACCCACTCCGCCCCACCACACTACCTGCAAATGGAGAGGAGAAATGAAGAGGAGCCACCAAACAACACAGCGCACACCGTGACGCGGCGGAAGATGGCGCTGGGTGCATTGCACCTAAAAAACACTTTACGGCAGCATTCAAAAGAAAGGTCCCCTTTCAGCTATCCTATCCAGAAGTGGCCCGGCATCCAGGAAAACGTCAAACCGGCATCCATGTGTGCATTTAAGTTGACACATCAACACGAGGGCGTATGTGTCAAGATCTATCCTCGAGTTGCGCTCTTCCGACATCATCATGCTTATATCATGCTTTTAAATCTTCGGCGCAGGTATGTACACGCTTGCGCCTCAAGTGAAGTGTGAAGGCAACTTTGGGTTTGGCGACGCAGAAGACAACCTCAGTTGCGTTTTCGTGCTGTGTGGTATAGTTGTATGCGCTTGGACAGTACGACAACTGCAGGGTATGAATGATTAATGGAAGCTGCTCAGCCACGCCTGCGCCAAACAAGCATTGCAAGAAAGCGCTGAACCCTCGACCCTAAAACCGACATTCGGAATACAGCCTCTGTCATGCCGTTCGCGACCCCGCTGCTGTCGGGTGGGGCCCTTTTGGGTCGCAAAAATGGAGGGAAGTCCACGATGCAGGAGGACTGGAATAGCTGGAACAATGAGCTGGTATCCTGGGATAAAGCCCGGAAGTCTGACCGGGGCCGGAGTGACTGTGGAGCTGTGGAAATCTCAGTGACTGTGGCGAGGCGGGGTCGCTCACGAAGTATGGGCAATGTGGTGTTGAGGGCAGGGCACACAGGCAAGGGCTGCCGAGCGGAAATTTGCTCAACCCAGGATGATTCCCTCTCCCCTTCGGTAGTGGCTGCAGGGGTAAAACGCAATCAGCGGGGTTTGATCTGAGGTACCTCGCGGCGGTTTTACGAGCTGGATCTGTTGAATATCCCCACCGGTGAAGGGACACGGGGACCTGCGGGGCCGCGTTGTTTGCAGCTAGACTGCGCCTGGTCTGTAGATGCGTTACTTGAAATCAGCTAAGGTCTGCCAAATTTGGCCTAAGGTGATTAGGATCAGGAGTAGATGAGTCGTAGTGACGCCTTGATGGTGAAAGGATAAAAGCATGCATACTGCGTCGTGCTGGGCGAAGCGGTTTGCACGTTAGGCCACAATGGAGGCCATGCCAGTCCGATTATGAGCGCTTGGACTTCCCCCCGGTGTTTCCGGTGCTTATGCTACCTCCTGCAACGTATACCAGCCGTCGTGCAATGTAATTTCAGAGTTCTCGTCTCGAAGTTTCAGTTAAACGGGGCATCGCGATCGCTGCCTTTTTTGCAGCTAGGCAGGGCCAAACCGCGCTTGGCGTAGCAGGGTAGTAGCAAACCACATCTGCTTGCACAAATTCCATCTCCAATAACCAAAAACATAAATTGCACACATGGGCATAAATAGACGTTTTAAAGGGGACGGTTTAAAGGGCCGGGCCAGTAGTGACAAGTCGTGACAGCAGCGCGTTTTCGCGATGATACTTTTTTTGATGCTTGTTCTAGATTGCAGATGATCACATGATATCTCAGTTGCCCAGTTGTATCGATTATGGTGTCCCACAACGTTCACCCTTGCCGGGCGCCGTACGACCCCGCCCGCCACATTGTTGCGCTTGTTTATCCTAACCTCCTGCTCACCAGTCCTCTGTAAACGCAACACAGTCGCTCATCAGTAGGCAGCACAGGGCCTTGTCACCGTCGGGCCCTTCTTGCTTGCCTTTAGCAAGTCGCCTCTTCTCTCCGCAGGTCGCATTGAGCACCCTTGTCCGAAGCAGACACGCCGTGGAACCGTTAGCCCCCGATTTCTTTCATTTCTTCTAATTTCAAGAGGTAAGGATGATTCAATAGCCTCGTTCTGCGAGGACTGGGTCACCTCAGGCCCCAACGGAGGCTTTCCACCGCATACGCGCTTGTGCTGAATATATAAAAGTAATTGTACCTGGATATGAAAAGCAATTCAAGGAGTTAGGCAAAAAGCATGATGGAAATTTGCTGGCAATGGCGGTTATCGTGCCGCTTAGTCTGGGCATTCCGCACGTAACGGCACGCACTCCTAGAGTAAACTTGATCAGTTGTCAAATTAGTAAGAGGTGCAACTCTCCGCGCCTGCAGGCTGAAAAGGTGAGGGCTGCCTGTCATTTCAGACAACTTTGGGAAGCACAACATAACGACTGCCGGGGAGAAAGGCGGCATTATAAAGATGCTGGCGGATAGCAGCCTCCAGGTGGAGGGCCCACAAGCGCCTGTTGACATGGTGGGTTACAGTTGCGCACGCATGCGCCCAGGTCGATGTCGCGAGAACTGAGCTAAATGGCACAGGCACAATCCAGGAAGCCCATCCTCTGATATTTTCACACATAGAGTTTGAATATCACCCCTGTCAAGTACATGAATGGAAGCCATGGGAGTTGTGCCACCGGGCTCGACGTGGCCAGGGCCCCCAAGCCGTCCCTAACCCATTAGTCTCAAAGCCTTCACGCGCCTTCCGACCCGCAACGCACACCTTACAACCCTTCCTTATGCGCAGGAGAGTGACGACATTTGTTGGATCTGTCTGGATGGCACGAAGGACCGGGACCCTCTTATCAACCCCTGCAGATGCCCGCGCAAAGTGCACCCGCGCTGCCTGGCCCGTTGGCAGCTGCAACAAGCTGGTCGCCTAGAGGAAACGAACTGCAGGTTCGAACCGGCGACTCTTGGCTCCCATAGCCATTATCATTTAACATCGTGTTGAATGACTATCACACAGGACTTAGAGCACGAGCGCAGCTGGGCCGTTCTAGGATGGCGAGGGCGACAGAAAAGAAGGGACACGTGTTCGAAAGAAGGACTTCCCAAAGCATCTCGGGGAATCTCGCCGTTGGGTTAAACGTGAAAGCAACGACAGAGAACACGACAGGAGGGCGTCCCCTTCACCAGCATTCACAATGGCAACTTCACCTGGGTCATCCCAGTTGCAAGGCCTCGAGCTGCTTCCGCTGCTTTCTTTCCTATGGATGAAGGAAAACAAAAACTGACCGTCGGGGTCTGACAGAAGCGTGGAATATAGGGGCGGGTGGGTAAGTGTTGGGGAGAGAAAATGTTAAGATGCATCGAAGGTTCCTGGAATGTCATCAAGCCATGTTCCGTTCATCCCGGCAATTCCAATCCTAGTTAGTTCCACCCCGCACGTGGCAACACGTGTCTTGGCAGAAGACCTGACCCGGCCTCATCAAATCCCACGCGGCGCCAACTAATTCCAACCGGTTGAACGTGATACTAACCGAAATTGCAACCGGCCCTACCTGATTCGGTTGTACTTGATTGCATGCGACCTCGCTCGCGAAGTGCTGTCGGGCCTGCCAAACACGACCTTATAAACCCTTATCCAACCGTCCCTTATCCAACGGACATGGCCCATGTACGTACGCACTTTCGTGCAGGTTTTGCCAAAGCAACTTGGCGGACTGGAAGGCCAGCCTCACGCCAGAGAACCTCAAGCCAGACGTGCAGAGGGTGCAACCGATCATGGTCGTGTACTTTGAGGGGCAGATCCACAGGTGGGTTTGTAAACATGACGTTGCAGGGTTGCTGGTAGGGACAAGTCAAGTTCACCTATCGACACGACGACGGTAAAATCGTCGTCCTCGATCCAGCCAATTTCCTATCCATAAGTCTCTCCTTTTGTGTGTATATGTTTTCGTGTGAATGCGTGTTTGCCATACGCAGTAAGTGGCGATGTAGAATTTGCCAATTTGCTTCAGGCTTGAAATGAAAGCATTTGGGGCTTGGGCAGCGGAAAGCGAGCAAAGAAGTTACAAAACTCAAGTGGGAGGAAACGCTGAAGTGGTGGCTGCACGCAAAGCGACGCATGCTATTGTGCGGGTAGGCTGCAGGCTGGCTTGGGGAGCGAGCTACTAGCTGGGCGTGTACCTCAAGGCGTGGGAGATCCGATTGGGATACGGTCGGTGTCACCACGAGTGCAAAAGAGCTGAAGTGGTGGATATGCAGCGGCGAGTCTTCAAAATGCCACAGTCCCATGCTCTCACGCCGAAACAGGATCCGGGTTTCGAAAACTAAACAATAATGCCAGTTTGGTGGTGCTGCTGCTGCTACTGCGGCTGCTTCTGCGGCTGCTACTACTGCTGACCCAGCCGTGACCTCTGACGGCGGCCTCTGAAAACGGCAAAAGCCTGCAGGTCTATAAGCTGGGCGGTGTGGTGACAGGGAAGAGACAGACAGACAGACAGACAGACAGGGAACAGGGTGGGAAGGGAAGGAAAAGGAACATTTGAAAGGTTCTAGAGGCGGTACATTAGCGGATGCACCCCCTTGCAGGTAGCAGGGGTTGGGTAGGAGCGCAATCATACCACCGTCTGAAGGGAGTTCAGGGCTGACAACCTGCTGGCTTGGTGGGTCGCAGCCTATACGCGCTTCTACCTCATAGAGATGATGTTCAATAGTGCAGTGGGATATAGGGAAGCAGAGGTTCTGGCGCTGATTGAGCCCCGAGGTCCTGGCAAGGGTTGGGGCATGGGAGTCCACTCAGCCTGTATCGGGCAGAGGCGGGTACGCGATGGGCATATGCAGGTGCGGCCTGTATTCATCCTTGGATCCGTTAGGAGTTGCATACGTCTAGGACGTCCACCGCCTTTGTAGCGGGGAGTAAGCCGCGTTGCCTGGGCCCACATCCCGTTCGTTCTTCGTATAGCATATGTTATTTTGATGTCCGAATAGAACGGAAACAACTTGACCTAATCCCAGAAGAAGACTTTGCCATAGCAAACGCTGATAGAGGAGCTTGTAATAGGGCTGCCTTTGGAAACGACCGCATTGGACCTGCTCTCCTCTGCATGCTGACTCTTGAATGTCTAGGACTGTCGAAGGAGTCGGACCTTTCACATGGCTTGCTTGAGGGTCTGCGATGATCTCGTCCTGAAACTCTCAGGCCGGCAATTTTCTGGAGCCGAGTGATAGTGTAAAGCAACCGTTTAGTGAGCTAAGAAGCAATAGCAGAGGTTGCCGTAATGTGGCAATTTGCAAGCAGTGCACCCTTCATGTCGTCGGAGCGCCTTGTAGGACTAATGGTATTGTTCCCAAGAAATGAGCTTCTATGATGTCTTATGACTGTTTTTTTAGTCTGTTGTTGACTGTCGCACCCTGCTATGCCCTGCTATGCCTAGCCTTGCCGTGCTATGCCTTGGGCACCGTGTCAGGCTCCACCTGCGGTGCTCTCTTTGTCCTGAGGCTGAAAGGCTTTTACTACGGCATAACCACGCACAGACCTCTCTTCCTGCTCTTGTTCCGCTGGGTGTCCCCGTCATCCATGCAGAATTCCTGTGAAGCAAGGCCCGGACGGACTTAAGGAGTTTACACATCGCATCCGAGAGCTCTTTCGCTTGCCTGACGATGTGGACATCTCCCTTACGTTTGGCTGCAAAGAGCCCTTGTCCGGACAGCACCTCAAGCTTGAAGGCATTGGCGCTTTTGACGCTGCCGTACACTGCGCCTCTGTCGCCGCTGCTGAGCGCCAACAAAAGCTCAAGTCCGGCGGCGGCGTAGCCACATCTGGCGGCTCTGGGGCCGGCGCTGAGCCAGCTACCGGCGCCGCTACCGGCGGCAACGCCGGCATTGCAGATTCCCCGGTGGGTGCTGCTGCCGGCGCCGCTGCTGCGATGCGACCCGCGAGCGCTGATCCCGATTACACCATGCATCGTCACAGCCACTTCAGCCATGACCACAACTACCATAACCACCTCAACCGCGCCGCCAGCACGGCAGCCGGGATCGCCTCAGCGCCCTCTTCGACGCCAGTGTCGGCCCAAACGTCAGCCGGCGGTGCCGATTCTGTGACGGGCGGCAGCGGCCTACATGCCGCCGCTTCTGCACCCGTACTGACCCACTACGCTTCGGACAGCAACCTGCTTGCTACGGCCGCCGCCACAGCCACGGATGCGCACGGGCTGCTGCAGCCTAGTTCACCTGGCCTCGGACCGGAAAGCTCTCTTCAGGGGTGTGTTAGCCTTCCTGAGCAGCCCGCGAGCGGCCGCTCAAGCAGCGGCGGCGGCGCCGCGACCGCTTCGGGCCAGGGGGCCCATCTGCAGCGGCAAGAGCAAGGCTTTGGGTCGGTGGCAGCAGCGGCAGCGACGGCGATGAGGACCGCGTTCTCACATCCCGCCCTTGTCCAGCGCGCGGCGTCTGGCGGCTCGCCGTCGACATCGCCCTTCCATGCGGCGGCGACGGCGTCTGCATTGGGTGTTGGGTACGGCAACGGGCCTGCTGCCGGCGTCGAGCAGTTGCCTCATCGACGGCAGCAAACGGTAGAAGAGCTGTACCTCCTGCAGCAGCAGCAGCGACGGGCTTTGCAGCAGCAGCAGCAGCAGCGGCGGCACCAGCAGTGCTCTATGCCGCCTCCTCTTTACAGCCAGTTTACCCTGCCGTTAACCCACACGACCCTCCAACAGGAGTCGACGCTCGCCGGGTGCCTTTCCGAGCCCTTTACCGCTGGTGGCTCCCGTCCGAGTTCCGCACCCCACGCAACGACGCCATCTTCGGGCTCCCCCTTCGCTACCGCGCCGTCACCTCTATCATCATGCCGCCAAGAAGCTTCCTCGCCGCCGTCGACGCCACCGCAGCCGCAGCCGACTGAGCTTGCCGGCTCGGGCTTTCCGTACTCAACGGCGCTTACTTCGCCGTATGCCGCGCCACTGCTGCCGCCCCTCCTCACACCAACCAGCAGTGGCAGCAGCAGCGCACCGCACTTGCGTCGCGGCAGCGACCACACTCTGGAGCAGCGCCCCGTCTCGCCATCGCTCTCGCCGTCGCCGTCACTTGTCGCCGCTGCCGCCAACGCCGCCGCCGTGCCGCTGACGCCTCGGGACCATTACGTCGCCTGCAGGGAGGCGGATGGTCGCAGCGATACCGTCAGTGCAATGTCGCACACGCCGTACACGTACCCTCAACGGCATCAGCGCCAGCCATCCCTCACTTCAGGCTACCTCGCCTTGAAGCTGCAACAGGAGCAGCAGTCTGCGGTTGCACAGGAAAACGGTGTCAGGCCAGCGGCTGCGGCGGTTGCCACACCGACGGCTGCGGCGGCGGCTGCGGCGGCGGCGGCTTCTACGGTTTGTGCGGACGACGGCAGCAGCGTCACTTGCAGTAGCGCCCTCAGTACGGCAATCGCTGACGCTGGCAACGCTGTCGGGCCTACAACACCAAGTCATCCTGTGGCTCGCCGGACCAATACACCGACGTCGGCACCCCGCCTGCCAGCGGCTGTTCTGATTCCATCCTCGAGCATCTCCCTGAGCCCAACCGTCTCGTCCAACCGCCACCATCCGTACCTAGGTTCTGCCGTCGATGCTGACGACGTTGCGGTGGCGGCGCCGCTACAAAGGATGCTAGCCGCTGGCGGCTGCACCACCGCCATTCCCGCGTGTGACGACGGCCACCGCACCATCCGCCGTACGACTGTCTCCCGCACCGAGTACGACATGGCCACGACGTTGCCGTGCTCCGCTGCCGACGACTCTGCCGCACTGGGTTCGTTGACTGGGCGCCTCAAGTTCTCCCTCCGTGCCTTTTCTCGCAAGGTGGCTCGCAGTTTAAATTTCCAACGGGGCGGTACGGGACACGGTACTGGCTGCGGTGCCATACACGCTGTCTCAACCGGCAGCGGGCTGATGACGTCGGTCGTAGAGGCCGACGGCGCCGCCGCCGCTGCGGCAGCGGATGCTGAGGCGTTGCTGCCGGCGGCGGATGCGGAGGCGGAGGTGGAGGAAGTTACAGAGCCGCCTTCCCCAGCCGCCGCCGCTGCGGCCTCTGTTGCTAATGCTGCTGGTGCTATTGTTGCCGCAGCTGCAGCCCCCACAGTTGGCGCTGACGCTGCCGGCCGTTAGCCGCGAGCCTGCTCCGCCATGTCGAACAACCTGCTGTTGCTGCTATATGGGCATTGTAACGGTTCGCCCAACAGATTGTTATGTGTACAAGCAGCAGAGGCAGATGCAAATCTGGCTGTGGTGATGATTTGGCGGTGTCCAGATAAATAAAATCTTTTTGGGGAGAGTGGCATCGCGGCGTGGCGGCGGATGGTGTGTGGGGCACAGGTCAGGAGTTGCCATGGTTTTTTCCACATCGGCGCCATGCCACATCGAGGGTTGCGTTGAGGCACGCCAAGAGTTGCCACGACGAGGGAGACGAGAGAGCGGCTGCTGGCGCGGCGCTGGCGGCGGAGCGGAGGGAGGATGAAATAAGCGCCCAGTCGCACGCTCGTTCGCTCCGCTGTGACATTGCGGACCGGGTGCGATTTGTTCTGAGCGCTGCATCTGCCGCGACGCAAGGCGCTGATCTTTTTGCTTGCAATGGAAAGCGCGTGCTTTGGTCGCGCACAGCTGGGGGAGAGGTCACCCAATGTTCCCCCTGCGTGGGTCGAGGCGCAGATGCGCGCTACGTAGCCCGTACTGCGCTTTCCTGGCGATTAGGCGGACGCTTGTGTTTATCTCTGTGGATGTGCGCGGACGTGCATATGTGCGCGTGTGCGAATGTGCTTGTGCTTTTTTAAGCGAGGGTGCGTGTGCGGAATATGCAAAAGTTTTGTGACCAAAAGTGCAATCGGCTTTATCGAAGGTCGGTCATGATGGTGGGTGGAGGCATGGTTGTTGATGCAGGGAGCCAGGTCCTGTTTTGTTTCCGAGTCATAGTTTTTAGTGTAAATGGTGTGTTTTTATTGGACTCAAGAGGCACAAAGAGCCGATTCCAAAGAGCACCGGCTGGCGGATTATTAGGCATGGGCCTAACGCGCGGCAGGGGTGCGAAAGCTTCTGCAGGTTTCCGGCGCGAAATTTCGTGTCCAAGACTTTCTGGTAAAGCGGAACCTTTGGGACGGCCTGAGCCATGGTCGCTGCAAATTAAAGCTATGACTTGTAACTGATTTCAGGGATCAGGGCTTGAAGGAAAGGAGATAAGCTGATGGCATGATTTGTTGTTCTTTCTTGTGGCTCGTTTCCCGCCAGCTGGCTGGTGAGCTCCGTAACTTTTTCTATTTCGCTAGAGACTCAGGTCTATGTCGCCTAGAGTGGGTCAGATCAGCTTCCTACGGCTGCATCCTTGATGCACTCCTGTTTTTGTCCTCGATGGTGGTAAGGTGCTCTTAGGAACTCCCATGTTATGTAAGACAATCATGGCCTGCGTTTTGCGCACCAGCCTCACTCCATGTGCATTGCGAGGCATGCTAATGTTATTGGAACACCACGACGTTTAGCTTTGCACTAATCCTTGGTGAAGCGTATTGCGAAAGCTTTTTTACTCATGTATAGCGGCCAGGTGCACCTTGAGGGTTAAGTTAATTTCTATTATTCAGGTGTGGGATACGGGCCCGTGCTATTCCATGCGTTTCCCGTTACGCAACGGCGGTGGGCTGGGACTGGCGATGTTGATAACGAACAGGATTGTAACAAAGTAAATATTTTCTTATTGGAGAAAGTTCCTGATTCCGTTCCTGATTTGTTTTCGGCTTCCTTCGTCCTACTGCCAGCCTTCCTTCGCCCCTTTCCTGAAGCCCTGGCCTGCCATGTCAAGCCCTCCCCGTCAGCTAAAAATATCATGAATAAATCATTGTTTTAGTGGTAAGCCTGATCATTGTGTGAAGGTTTCCGGTATATGCAACAGTCGGCATCCGCATCAAATCCACGAAAGTAAGCGAACGCTACACATTATCAATGCTTGATCACGCTTTCTTCTGATCCCTTTCATTTGCCAACCCTTACCTTGTTTCGGAGCGTGTCCTCTTATAGCCACAGGCGTACGGTAGCGCGAAACAGGTAGCTACATCACTTTAAGAAGTCAACAACGATTCCTCCTCTTCAATTCTAACCAGCTTAAAATTTTGGATCAGTTTGAAAGTCAAGTTACGCTGGATAGAAGCTATGGATTCTAGCGCCAAGATTTTGGGGTGGCGTTTCATGGCTGGCTGGCGGGCTTGGGCGGCGCTCTGTCGAACTCTGTCTGACTCTGCATGCTGGAGCTATAAAGAGCACGGCAGCAATCCCATCCAAAGGCTTTGCACGTTGCACACCTGGTCACCGGCGCTGTTGCAGGGAAAGCATGAGAAAGCATGTCTGCAGTGTCTCGCCAAGCTGCAATATTTAACATACTAAAAGGACCGTGATGCCAATGCGCACCTCTAAACCCAAACACAAGAGCTTGCATAGCTTTTCGCAACAGATCACCAATGACTAGCATGAGCCCCTAAGAGCCACTCCCAGCTTGGCACTCTCACTGCCTCGCACACAGCCCAGGGAGCGTAATGGCCGTAGCCAGGGCACTCGCCTTAGCTACTGCTACACACGCATTCACCATAGCCGCGGCCCTGCATATATCATCAATCTTCATCCACAGGTGTGGCAGGAGCCCTTGAGACCCGGCTGGGAATGCAGCTGCGTCTATCCACAATGCCGACGTCGCGGCCACCGCTCAGTAATCATAGCACTCGATTAGCTCGCAGCCAATGACCTGCCACCTTAGCTTTTCCCTGAGCTCCTGAAGTCTGGCCTTCTGGGCGCCAAAGTCCGAGAGGGGCTGCTGAATAGGCCAAATGTACTTGACACTGCCTGGGAAACGGGAGACGAGGCGGGCGAGGTAGTTAATTGGGGTTCACAGGCAGAGGGCAAAACCCTAAGACAACTCATTCCCTGTCGGAAAGGAAGGAAATCCAAGGTCGTGTGCATGACACTCCGCCGCCGACAGAACAACACAACGAAGGAGCTCTGCGACACGAGGAACAGATTTGTTGAGAGGAATGACGCTGCTGCGGCCGCGGACATTACGTCATGAATCCGCCTCCCCTGATCCCCCGGATCCTTCTAATGGGTCCGTGCTCCCAAACTACTTAACGCTCCTTCTCACATAACAGCACGTTAATGTTGACTTTAACCTTTCTGACGAAAAAAACAGTGGTGAAGCGGCAAGAAAACGAGAACGAGCGGCAAGAACCAACGTGCAGTCAGCCGACATAGAAACTTCGGCAGCAGCTGCCCTGCTGCTCCCACCGCATGTAAATGCGCATGCGAGCATTTTGAAACGTTGGCGATGTTCCTCTACTTTTTGTTACGCACGAAAAATGAAAGCGAAAGCGAACCTACCTGCCAGGGATCGATACGTGACATAAGGCCCCTCGCGGTCGCCCTCCCAGTTCCGATTGTTGACGGACTCCTCCTTGATCAGAAACCTGCACAGGTACGGCAGTTGCAATGCATGTTCGCTGGGCGGTTTTAAAGTTGTGTCGACCCAGATGACCTGTGGCCGATGCCGCCGAGCTGGCCAACGCGCGACACCTGCAGATGATTGAATGAACCGTGACCACTTGAACCGCGGTCTTCCCCCCTAGGGGGCTCGCCGCCCCCTTTTTCAATAATCCAAGCACGGCATTTTTGATGACGAGGGTGTTACACTGTGGGTGGCTCGCCCTGAGAAAGGACAAGCACCCGGGGCCCTGACCGGGCCGAAACACACCAGCGCAGGGCCGGGGGGCCGCGGCTCCACGTCCGTCCATTCCTCCGCGCGCGCGCGCCTCACTCCCTCGCTCACACCAGCCGGGACGCTCTCCCAGCCCCTGGCTAGGCGACGCAGCGGCGCAGAAGACTGCAAACCGTACTGAGCGAGAGCCGCGCGAGAGGCGCCGCATCTCCTCAGGAATAGCTACCTCTCACCACTACGCCTGGCCAGCCTAATCACACGCTCTCATAACTCTAGACCGCCAAACCAAAAACAAAAAGGAAAACGCCACCGGGGGCAGGGGCTCTACACAGGGGGCTTCGCCACAAACTCAAAAGACGATGTTGTTGAAATGTTGTTATATGGTGTCATTTTAATGTTGTTTGAGCATGTAGTATGTTGTAGTAAATGGCGGCACTGGCAGCCCCAGCCCCAGCCCCAGTCCCGGTTCCGGTAGCGTCTGCGGCCGCACAGAATCGGCAGTAACAGCAGCAATAGCACCCTCATTGCCGCCTTCCCCCCCTTTCCCCTCGTCACTCACTCAAGGATGTCCTTCCCGAAGAGCGACGGCGCTAAGAACGCCCGATACTCTCCAAAGTCATAGCTCTGGGACTGGGCGAGGGACCAATCGGGATACAAGGCCAGCACCGTGCGCTCCATCTCCTGCGGCCGCACCGCACACAACGACTGTTCAGATGACATACATTCTACACTCTCGCTTTGCTTTTTCATGTACACAGGGGAAGTCCGTTCCTTCCCAACACAAGAGAAACACAACCCAATCAGCTCCTTATACCACTCGGCCAGCCCCCCAGTTTGCACCCCTCCCCCTGCTCTACTCACCCTCACCCACATCCTCACCCCTCACCCTCACCCTCACCCTCACCCTGCTCTACTCACCCTCACCCTCGCCCTCATCCTCACCCCTCAACCTCATCCTCATCCTCACCCTCACTCCTCACCCTCATCCTCACCCCTCGCCCTCGCCCTCGCTGAAACCCTACCGCTGAAACACCCACCTGCGCCGCTTCCTTGGCGGTGCGCGTGTTAGCTCGCCACGCAGGCGCGTATAGCTGTTGAACATGGGTGTACACGGCGGGAGGGGGGCCGCGTCGGGTTCTATGTGGCCGCCGTGAAGCGGGGTGTGGATCCCGAAAAGCCACTCGGAAGGTGGGCCCCATCGTGAATAGCACTGCAACTAATGATATTGCAACTACTGATAATACAACTGGGGATGCTGTTACATTTATTGGATATGCGTTTTCTAATATGTGAAAGTCATGTGCTTACGTGTTCGAGCGAACTCTGAGACTGGCTGTCCGCTGCTTCTCATAAATTTAATTACGTGGTCACCTATGGAGGTGGCAAATCCAGCAGGACGCGTGCGTATAGTAAAGTAGCATCCGCAGCTGTTATTTTGTGTGATAGACTGGTGGGTTGGTCATGGCTGCGCGAGGGCTGGGGTTTTAAGGGTTTTCCATCCTGGGGTCGGTCTGATCTGCCCACCTCGTTGGTGGATGCGGTGGACACGCAGTTTGGGTTGACGTTGCCTTGACAGCCGCGGATGGTGCTGTAAAGGGGAGGATTGCATGTTGGGGAAGGGAATGCGGGGCTGTGACAAACGCAGTATTAGAGCGAGAACTTCCGATGCAATTCCATGGACTGCCGGGGAAAGATGTAAAGTTATAAAGTCCTTTCAGAGGCATGGCGAATAGCAGCCTAGGTCGGTACGGCTGACGCTAGATCTGTATCGCTCGTACATGTCAGTAGGAAGGATCGGCACTCCGTTCTATGCTCACCCTTCATTGGTCACACCCAAGATGATGGTTTTTTTGCTTTCCAAGTAGGGATTTGCAGGGCACGGCGGCGCCAGCGACAATGCAACACCACAGGAAATCGCGCATGCTGTCAGTGCCCAACTTGGGCGAGACGTACTCGGCAATGCGTCACAATCATCACGCTTGTCTGCTGAAAGTGACGTAACGGCATCCCTGTACAGCGCCGTGCGAACGGTGCAGGTCCTGCGGTTTGTAGCAGGGCGTGAGCCACAGCGAGGCGCCCGCTTCTGAATAACTGAGGATGCCATGCCAGGCTGGCTACGGCTCTAAAGCTTCAGCAGTGTGCAAGATTGTCAGTGAATGGATTAAATCAGACAAACTAGGCAGGCTTGCTCGTTCTTCGGAGCAACAAAGTACGTGATTTACAATATTCGAAATACACCTTCTTACTGCTTTTGTAAATTTCCTTTCACTTCATTCTGATAGATATCTGCAAGAAGCACTGGCGTCGTGTCCGGTTGCAATCATACTTCGTGTTTTGCACTCTCCCAAGTTAAAGCTTTTAAGGTGTCCAACTTATGGACTTATGGACTCAACCCCATGGCATGACATGCACTGGGGCTTCGCTCACAGCCAGAGACAGGTCGCATCGGCTCAGCCTCCTTTCCAGGGTCCCGCTATCAGCCTCACCTGTTGCTGAGATGACGTCTGGCCGGTTGTCCGCTGAGGAACACACCCGCGGTTGGACCCTCCAGGGCCCATGCACACACACGCACCACACTCCCTTCTCTCACAAAGCATCTTGAGCAAGCCGACATCCTCGCTTAACAGAGCCACACACTGCACCCAACAGCTGCGCATGGACATAATGCCGCCATGCATACATACTCCTGGACGCCTGCCCACTGGAACATGGCGACGTCATGCAGTTGCTGCAGCCTCTCGCCTGTCCCTTCGTTGATACCCATCTCCCGTGATCAACCAACCTTTAGTAAGGTTGGTTGGTATAGAATCCTGCTTCTGCAGCCTCTGCACATACTCCAACACATACTCTTAACACTTCCCCTAATTGCAACTATCCGCCGGTCATCATAGCTGCCGAATTGCGAATATCTACCTGGAAACTTGGATCGCTGGGAGCCAGGCATGCGTGCGTGTGCATGGCACGGAGTCCGCCCCGCATCCATGCTGTCAGCTCCTTCCCACACTTCCCCAGCCCCTCCCATGTGCCGCATCCCCCCCTGCTGTTGCAGTCACCAGCCAGAATAGGCAATCGGTTTGCAAAAAGCAGACGGACAGCGATATCATGAGGCAATATTTTTGTGCTAGGGGTTAGTGCATAGCACGCCATTGTCGTTCGGGGGAGGTGCAGGGTATAGGGGGCGCTGCGTACTACAGGACTAGAGTTACAAGCTTGTTTACTGCTTCATTCCGTACGCGAGTTGCCTGCCGGAACTCCCGTATGAGCTGCGGCGAATGCCGTCCGTTTGGCTCCGGCGTTGGGCTAACACCATATCGTCCTTGGATCGTGCTTAGCCTGGCGCGCCGCCATGGGTAGCTAGTAATCAAACCGCGTGCCAACGGCTCACCTCCGCTCCTCAACGCAGCCCTACAGATGAGCACGACAATAGAAGCAGCAGCTCTACCCGCGCAGCAGGGCATGGAATAGGTGTAACAGGTCCGCATCTTGTCACGTTCTGTGGCAATTGGAGGCATATGTGTTGGGAAGGTAAGGGTCCACATTTTTAACACGAGGATAAGCGTATTCATGACGAACGCTTTTCCAACTGTAAAGCGTTGCGGACTAACTACAGATGAAGAGACGATAGGATGTCATGTCCAGCACTTTATCTTGCCTCGAGCATGTCACGTCACTTACTGATGTACGAGCTACGTTGTTGTACTAACGGCGAATCCATGTCGGTTGCACAGGCACGAGGGCATCACCTGTGTAGTGATATCGCATGTTAGAAACGTTATATACACGCTAGCCTATACATTGTAAGAGTACTAAGGTCTACCTGCATATGAAAGCATAGCTGCACTGATAATCTCTTTAAACGTACGGTGAAGTAGCTCCTATCATAATCTATATAACGAACCCTGAATATTTGAAGACTCAAAGTGCAGTATGACGCTTGACCCGAAGCACCTGCAAGGGGTCGAGCCAGGGCTGGTGGGTTGCGATGTGGATGTGACGGGACTTGCTATCCTATTCTGTCTTGATGTCATGTACATGTTTACAACCAGGCCACTTGTGCGGCTCGTTCCCACCTCAGTCTTGTCTCTGTCTGCAGGCTCAGGTCCTGTCTTGCGTCGCCTCTATAGTTGGGGAAGTCTCGGTACGTGGTCCTTTGTCCATGACGAGCGTCTCGGTTTCATTACTCAGCCCTCAAGAACTTGTTGACCTGCCATCACGTAGGGCATTCTGCGGTCGGCGGGCTCCAGTTACAGCGGCAGCACAAATGCTTTTGGCGACCAACAGCTTGAGGTAAATATAAAATGGAGCAGTATCGCATCAGCAATGTGCGGCGGCGACAAGGTTAATATTTTGACTTGAACGTGCGGGGTTGTGCGGGGTGATGAAATATGTTTGCCGAAATCTGTTAATTTCTTTCCGTATTTGGTGTCAAAAGACTGCTGTGCTTCACTTGCCCTTGCCGCTGCCCTAGGGCTGCCACTTCCCTTCCGCTGGGGCTTTCCAGCTCACACCTTTTCCATGGCGTCCCTTTTGTGTGGAATTTCAGCGTCGCTAATCGCACCACCCACCCTTTCCTGCAATTCTCATACTCACCTCCAGGTGGACGTGCAAGTCGACCGGTTGATTTTTGAGCGGCTGGCCAGCTGCAGCGCCGTCCAAGGGGCGGGCAGCGAGGAGCAGCCGGAGATCAGAACGCTGAGCGGCAGCGGCTACACGGTGGTCTTTGATCCGCTGGACGGTAGCAGCATCATGGGGGCCAACTTTGCCGTAGGAACCATATTTGGAATCTGGCCGGGGGCCAGCCCCGTGGGTCGCGCAGGTCGACAACAAGCAGCAGCAGCGTACGCAGTGTACGGACCGCAGACGATATTGGTCTGGGCCAAGCCGAGAACAGGCGCATCTTCGTCAGGGGTTGCGCACAAGACGGGTGTGTCCAAGCCGTTGACTCCATACCATCGTGGGATGGGACACCGACGGAATCGTACACCCCATAGTTGTTTCATGATTGATGAAAGGAAGATGTGTGTGTGTGTGTGTGTGTTTGTGTTGGAAGGGCATTTCCACGTGGTGCATGGAAGGGCCTTTCCACGCTAGCAACGGCACACAGCAATATTTCCAGCCCTTCTACGACATCCGCATAGGGTCAACCATCCTTTTCCCTCTTTTTCTTTCTTTCTTTCATTCTATACCTGCGATGTAGTTAGTTCAGCCAGTTCGTACCGTCGTCTGACGCCCCTGACGTACGTGCCGCCAAACCGGTCGCAGCTAATGGCAACGGCCCGATTCCTGACGACGTGGCCGAGGGCGCGGCCCCAGCCGCGGCGCCAACGACGACGGCGCCTCCGTCGACCAGCGGGACATCTTGCAGCAGCAGTGCCAACATCCACGGCACACACGAAGTGCATGAATTTCTGCTGCAGGGCGATGGGACATGGCGCCTGCAGCGGGCGGGTGTTGCGATAGGATCCGTCAGCCGCACCTTTGCGCCTGCCAACCTGCGGGCCGCCGGCAGCAATGAGGAGTATGCAGCGCTCGTGCGGCGCTGGATTGACGCCGCCTTCACGTTAAGGTAGGGCGGGTCGGGCAAAAGGGAGGGAGCTATTACTGCTTCTCCAGTCGAACATTTGAACGCGCAACCCCTGCTGTGATGCTGTGATACCACTTGCTGTGATAACGTACAAGCGCGTTCTGTGGTGACGTACAGCAGTACATGAAGGGCTGGATGGGTAACTCAACCAACAGCTTTTGTACGGGCTGGGATATCGTGGTGGTTTTGTTACTGTTGTTTGTGTCTTCTAGAGTCAAATGCACTTCGGTTTTTTACAGAACGGCTTTACAGTGACCTAGCGCACGACGTCGTCAGCTTTTGGGTTGTTCCGCCGACCAGCCGGCCGCCTTGGAGGCTGCAGCCAAGGGTGCTCTGTCCAACTTCCAACTTGATGACGGAAAATTGCAAAGCATCTGTGTACGGAAAAAACTTCTACCCAAAAATGTTGCTGTACATTTGCTGTACAGCAGTGGATAAAACGTGGATGTATTTTTACAGCCCTGCTGGCTCCAAAACTGCTGATGATCTGCTGTGATGCACGGTGATGCAGATACACGGGCGGGATGGTGCCCGACGTGCACCACATCCTGGCGAAGGGCAGCGGTGTTTTCTGCAATCCATGTTCGGAAGCCGCACCGGCGAAGCTGCGTTTGCTCTTTGAGTGTGCCCCCCTGGCATTCATCGTTGAGGTGCGCGCCTCGTCGAGGCTGTGTGCGGCTTCATTCCGGGGTTCGTGGGCCAAACAATTCACATGGAAGATGGGATGGTGGGCTTTTGGAGTGTGTGTGATAGTAGGAGATGGGTGATGGCTGGCTGGCTGGCTGATGCATGGAGGTTACTGCGGATGTGGACATGCAATACAAGCACGGGGCTAGGTCAGACTCTTGTTGACAACCCAAGACCCAAGAAAATCCTACAATACTATGCACACGTTAAGCCGTCCTATCAAGATATCATATCGTACCTTCATCCCGTTCCTCTTTCATGTACATGTGTACAGGCGGCGGGAGGTTGCAGCACGACTGGGCAGTGCTCCGTGCTGGACGTGGCCGTACGGACGCCCAACGACCGCTCGAAGATTTGCCTTGGGTCCAGTCAGCTGGTTGAGGAAAGCCTACCCGCCATGCAGGCTGCGTGAGGGGCTGGGGCCGCCGTGACATCTGACCTTGACGAGTCGGCCACTCAGCCGCGGATTGGCAGGCCAGCAAGCCAGGAGCCATCGCTTGGTAGCCGCCGACGGCCCTCTTCCGCATTCTTCATGGGCGGCATTGTCGTCGCTTGTTACCGTAGGATGGTGAAGCAGGACTGCCCTCATGGCCGAGGCTGTGTAAGGGCAGGCACGGTAGGGTCTGCACAACGCTAGGGCCGTGTAATTGCTAGGGAATTTCACCGAAAAGGATGCTGCTTTCGCGCAAACGTGTGGGTTCGAAGCGGTTGGCGCAGGCAGGGGCCGGGGCTGCTTGGGCCGGAGAGGCGCATCCCCTTGCGAATGGCTTCCCTCCCACCGGTCTCGTGCTCGTTGGCTTGGCAGGGGTGGTGCCGCAGCGGGTCTGAGCATATGGGCTATATATGGGAATGACACGTGATGTGGCACGGTTGGGACTCTTAACTTACGGGGGTGTGGGCGTGAGATAGTTTTATATGCTCGCAGCTTGGCTAACCAGAAGAAGAGAAGATTGTGATTCTGCACGTGGAAATTTAACCCAGCAGCGGTGTCTTAAGCTTGCTTTGGATCTTAAAAGGTAACGGGGAAATGAAATATGAACGCCTCCTGCACGCCTGCAAGGTAACGGTTGAGGATGGCTAACTGGCAACAGCCGGGTCATAAGGGCCCCATAAGGGCGCTGGCGTGGCTTGGTGAAGGGGATGGTGGCATAGCGAGGGCGAGGGGGGGGAGAGGGGCGGTCTATTGTTGTCGTTTCCTGTTCGGCATTGACGTGATGTGATGTCTTCTGCCTACAGGGTGTCGTAATAGGCCCTATATGATAATACTTTTTGGAAGTACTCCAGTGGTACGAGGAGTCTCTTTTTTCAGCTTAGTTCACAATGATATTTACGAGGGGCCTGTTACGCCGTTTCCAGTCGGAAAAATCCCTTTGCGGCGATGTAAATCATGGGGGGCTCGGAGGGTTTACCTCCCGTTTTGGAAGACTGCGGTGCATGCAAAAAGGTGCCAATGCTTCGGATGTGCAAGAAGTTTGAGGAAATGGATCTGCGTGGTTAAGACTGAATGGTGAATCTTCACATTTAGCTGCTCTGCTGTTGCGAATCGAAGTTACCCGTCGGTTTCGTGCGCGGTCGATTAGGCGCACTTCAGCTTGTATCGGTATTACCTGCGGGTGCTCCGTGTTTTTAAGTGCAAATGTTAAGTTGAAGTGAAAGGAGGATGTGTGGTGGATGGCGGAGACTCAGGCCTCGGGGACGCGAAAGCTGAGCTGTGCAACTAACCCATTAGTTCTTTGGCATCTGCTAAGGAGGCCAGATGGGTTTCCTGTAGTTATGCGTCTTGCGCAACACTCTTGAGGCCGTTTTGATGAGCTTTTGGTACGTCCTTGTGAGGTCCAGTGCGGCCGTTACCAGATGTTGTACAGTGAGCTGCTGTACCGGTTGCCTGTAACGGTCGGGGTGCAGATCACCGTCTGGGACAACACATGTAACATCAATGATATCTGGCTTTTGACGTCTAGTTTTCTGAGTAGTGATGCGCAGTATAGCATGCTTCCTGTTGCTCTGTTCGAGGTGCTGCTATCATGGTTGCAAGCGATCATACGTTGGCTATTCGGGCACATCACAGAAAGATCAGTTGATGATGCCTCAACAACGTCAGGCGTGGTATACAAGGGCTCAAGGCCGAAACCACCAAATGCGGTGGCGATCGTCTGGGCCGAAGACAAACTTCACGATTCGGCAATCAAGCAACTCGCTGACATAATGCAATGGTAACATGCACGCTGCGCTGGTACATATACTGCAAAGTTTTTAGTTGGGGGACTTGGCTTTCCTTTGACAGGTGTAATCATGGGAACCTGGAGGCATTTTATCTGTATGATCCATCAGGTATGTAATTCATAAAGCGAAATTGTAAAGTGAATTGGTGTGTATGATGGGCTTGACAATTGGCACGACGTTACACTTGCTTCCGACCAGGAAGCCTCAAACGCGAGTCCCATAATCTTGAAAGTGAACTTCGATCAGTAGGTGATCAGAATTGGAATATCCAGGTGAGTTGTGTTAGGGTTTGGCACAGGCAAATACTGCGTGGCGGTTGGAGCTGAATTGTGAACATTTCAAGAGTAAAAGCATGGGTCCTGTGTACATCACATCTCCCCCAAAATGCAGATTGGTTGGCGGGATGAACCAGTTTACGGAGAGCTCAAATGCAGCGCGTGCAGGTGGGTTATAGAGTGAGGGTTTGCTAGGGACAGGAAATTGCCAAACGATACTGGATTCAATCAACGATGCACGGACTTTACAGCTCCCCAGCATCTGAACATCTCCTCATAGTTTTGTGCTATGCTGTACTTACAAAGGGGGCGCATATCAAATTCCAGAGTTTGCGCATACTCGGTACGTCGATACATCCTATTCAACGCCCAGCATTTTCCCACGAAACCGCGCTCTCTTCCAGCGCAATCCCGGCTGATCCGGCATGCTCATGCCGCACGTGTGTAGGACTGAAGGAGAGCTGCGCAACCGTGCCGCAGCGGCAGATAGATGTTATAATGCTGATGCTGGGGCCGCGGCACGCTCCACCTCTACCCGCTCGGCGCCCCTGGCAAATACGCCGTGTGTGTGTGTGCCGGCTATGAATGGGAAGCTGTCGCAACGACAGGCGGCGCGGGCTGTGGCAACTGAGGCGAGGGCTTCCTGCACGGCAGCGGGCCTGGCCGCAGCGCCGCCGTCGCAGGTCACTACGGCAGGGCCCAGGCGCAGCAGCTATCCGGCGCTTTTCGCTCCCGTGTGTGCTCCCGTCCTCTCCCCCCCAGTGGCACAGCAGGGGAAGGGTTGTCCCCCGGCGGGCTATGACACGGCGTCCCCGTCCTCCAGGCGGCTTAGGACGGCTCCCTTGGGCGTTATAGCCGATACAGCAGCTGATACAGCGGCTGAAGAACCAAAAGCTACAGCTGGAGCTGCAGCTACAGCAGAGCCAGGGACGAGCTCAGCGGCTTCGATGGCGATAGGAGCAACAGCGGTATCGGAGGGGGGGGGAAGAGCAGAGAAGAAAGCAGGAGAGGGAGTAGGAGTAGGAGCAGGAGCGCTAGAAACGGCCCGGTTCGAATGCCGACTGCCACTTCTTCAGCCCGCTCCGCAGTGCTCCCCAGGCGGCGGCTGCGGTGCGAGCTATGGCGGCTGCAGCAAACCCAGTTCGTCCGGGGGCGCGGCTGAGCGGCCGCCCGAGGACCTGGTCGCCGTGGAACGCGCATGGACTCACAGCAGCAGCAGCAGCTTCCTACTTGCCGACAACCCGCCGCCGTCAGGGCCTAACACCGCCGCGGCTGCCTGCAATAGAAGCAGCAACAGCAGACCAGAGTTGCGGCCGCCGGACACCATAGCTGAGGGTGCTCTGCAGGGCACGAGGGACGCTATTGCCGAGAATGGATGCAATCGTTACACCTGCACAACCCGCTCAGAGCGCCTAGCAGAGGAGGCGGCAGTGGCCGATATCATCACTGGGGACGGATGCGGATGCGAATGCGGTGCAGGGTCGCGTCTTCTTTGCGGCTGCTGGGATGGGAGCCAGTCACCGCGACAGCGGCCCGATTGGGCACGCAGCTACTGCTGCAGCCGCAACAGCAGCAGCAGCAGCTGTTGCCCTCGGGGGGTGAAGGAACCACATCGGGGTGCCGTCTTGCGGAGCAGGGATGGGGATGGGGAGTTACCTCAGGAATGTTCGGCTACTGCGACACATGGCGGAAGTGGGCGCATCGACGACGACGACGGCGATGACGATGACGATGGCGACGCGGCGGCAGCGGCGGCGACGAGGGGCCTGGGCCTGGCCGGCGGCAATATTCATTGCGTACGGGTTCACGTGCTGTCCGCGGAGGACGGGTACCTGCCTGTACTCAACACGGCACGCTCGGGCGGGGTGTGCTGCCGCTGCGGCGCGGTGATCCCGCTCAAGGTGGGACCGGCAGCAGTGCTGCGGGTGCTGCTGCTGCTGCTACTGCTGCTGCTACTGCTGGGATGTAGTGGGAAGGGGCCCCTGAGGGCGCGGGAGGGAGGGAGGACTGCCGGTCCGCATGCCTCCAGGGGTCCTTGGGACCGGCCGGTTACCATCGTCCGCCGCCGTCTCTCCATCGTCAAAATGTACCGTGTACCCGTTCCTTGGCTAGAGCACATTTCGAAAGCTTTGCATGCAAACACACACACACACACACATGCACACACACACGCACACGCACACGCAACCCGGTATTCGCTCCTATCGCCTCGTCTGCTGGTGCGTGCCTTGGTGCCTGGGTGCCACATTTTGTTACTGGCTAACTAACTACCGGTCGCCCTCCGGCTGCCGCCGACACACGCCTTCCGGCCCCCCGCGGGCATGGACGTGCCTTCCAGAGCGGGCCGTACCGGGAGGGCCTGGCTCGGCTTCGGAACCAGATGGCGCAACTGGCGGGCCATACCGTATTGGTGCAGCCGGAGCTAGTCCTGGTGAGGCCGACTGGTGGGACTGCACTTGCGGTGGTGGGCTGGTGGTCTGGTGGCGTCGGTGGGGCGATGGTGTGGGCCCTGGGCATTTCGTCTCACAGTCCTGATGCTCGTCCTGATGATCTTTTCCCACACCCTGTCCTTTGATCCTTTTACCATTACACGATTTCATTCTGTTCTGACACCAAACTTCTTTTCCCGCCTGCCTTCCTCTGTTTTCGCCTCGCGGTCGTGGGTCGTATGCAGGTGGTGGGCCCTGTGCTGACCCTGGCTGGCTTCCCTCCGCTGCATGTAGCGACCTCCGAGATCTTACATCTGGGACCCAGCCGCGGCCTCTGTAAGGCCCGTGTGGACGCGGCATGGGCGAAGTTCCTCCGTACGGAGCAGCGCTTTGGCAGCTAGTGGTCGCAATCGTGGTGCTTACTGTGTTTAGGGTGGTTTCGGAGGGGGGCGCTCGAGGGGAGGACGGGGTCCTGCTGTGAATGAAGGCGGGAGCTGCGGTCGTGGACAGGTCGAGGTCGAGGTCGAGGCCGAGGTAGATAGGGAATGGTTTGAGAGAGAAAACGGGTAGCAGCAGGGGGGGGCCCAGCGTGTGGGCGTGTGCTTGCTTGATGTTCTTAGGAAACCTGAGTCCTAGGGGACCCCTAGGGAGGCGTGGGAGTAAGAGCACCAGAAAGGAGACACAAGTTTTCTATCTGGGGCTGTTTATCTGGGGCTGTTTATCTGGGGCTGCATGCAGCGGATACGTGTTGTGGTAGAGATGTTGGTAGTAGATGTCAAGTAGTAGTGGAGAGGACAGGGCAACAGCAGCCGGGCCGCTGCCGCAACTGCGTGATGTGGCGGTGAGGTGATGCGGCCGTATACGGCTCCTTAAGCCCCGTGATGGTAGGTGTTTCTTCTTTTCATGTTGCAGGACCCTAACGGCCGTAATGAACTTGGCAGCACTATGGACAGCGCAGGAAGATCAACTTTAGTTAAACGTCCTCGGATTTGACAGGAGGAGGAGGCGCAAGGGTGAGGTGACTCGAACGGATGTAGTCAGCAGCTATATCGTTTACCCAGGCCGCTGTGTAAGGATGCCTCCCTGAAGCTTTCCTTGGCGCTTTCAAACTGTTTCCCGGGAAAAATGCGCATTTTGGCCGAAGCGGCAAATCGTCTATATTTTTTGGATTAAGAAACATAAGCTTGAATGAGTGAAAGTTTCAAGGGCGAGAAATCACGTGCCAGCTCATTGGGCGACGACGGTGTGTGTTCGCAATGGCTCGTACCATGTCGCCCAGACATGGGCACCTGCGCCTCGTTTTTCTGTTTCAGACATCGTATACAGATAAGTTTACATGCTATATAAATAATGGCTTGCTTAATGGGTTTGTTGGATGCTAAATGAGGCGACCCTGTGCGGCGCAGGTAACCCATACTGTAACAACCACACACCATACTGCGTAGTAAGCAGCAATTACGAGGTGATATGAGCACAGATATTATAGCATCAATAATATAAACATGAAAAGGTTATATTCTTGCCTGCGGCAGAGCACTTTGCCATCGCGGGTTAAGACGTACGATGTCTGATTAGTAGGTGCCGAACGGCATCTGAAAGCTACTACTACAACTTTAATATAGTGATTTAAATGGTGGAGCTCTGTGGCGCTTTATAAAAGAAACGCATGCCCGGGTGCCGGAAATGCCAGGAGCGGTGAACTGCTCCGTTGGCGTCCTCTGCCCACAGAAGCTTTTGGGTGAATTTTTACTATAGTTATGTTAATTTTACATCAACAAATAGTAATCGAACTGCTTAAGGCGAGGTCGTATTGCGTCGGAGCTCTTGGACATCGGGCATGGAATTGCAATTTGGCATAACAACCTGCACTCACAGCTGTGAGCCGGATATAATTTGTCCATCAATCAGCACAGCTAAGCTTCAGCAGTTAGCCTCGGTAAATCACAGAATTGGTCCATAACCTGCCTGTACCTTTTGGATAAGGAGCGTAAGTCTAAGCAAAGGCTTGAACGAAAAGAAATGGCTAACTGCACATCCAATCCTTGTCTATGGGAATTTTCCCGTATTGGCATAGCCCATGCCGCAATCGCACCTTCAATACGCCAGGGCTCAATACTGCTGGACACCTCTGAAGGGTTGTACATTCAGAAAGTCTGGCCGAAACTGTATAGCACAACTTAACCGTGCCTCGCGCCCCACCCTTCACGTGAAAAAAACTGCAGTTTCCGGTCGCTCAGGTTGGCCTGTGGCCAGAACCTGAGCCCTCAAGAACAGCGACTCCAACAGCGGCCCGAGCCACTAAGCCCACCGTACTGCGTTGACTTCTCTTCCGGATCCCAACTTCGAGTCCCGACCGCATGAAGACCATCGGCACAGCCGCAGCTGCAGCCGCAGCAACAGCACCGGACTCAGGCAACGGCAACGGCAACGGCCTCACCACACAAAATTTCGCGGATTCGCGAACAAAACACCACCAGCACACCAGAGCTACTCCTGGCCCTGCTGCGGCTGTGCCGGCGGCATCAGGCTTTGCCGTCAGCGGCGCCGCCTACCCCTACCGGTTTCACACCGCGGGAACCTCGTCACCCACCGGCGGCGACGGCGGCGACGGCGGCGGCGGCGGCGACGTGAAACTCCTCACCATAAGTACGGACGATCCGATAGTGACCCACGTCACGGCGGCGTTGGACTTCAACTCCAAGGCCATCCCCGCCGCTGCCGCGGCGACGCCGCCGCCGCCGCCATTGACGCCTCCGTCACAACTCTTTCCTGCCCGCTTAAGTCCAGACTCCGCCACCGCCACTCGATCCTCCGATCCGGGCATGATCCAACGACCGCCGCACAACGGGCATCATACCTCCCAGTCCGGCGTGCCGTCGCGGTTTGTGCGCAACGTAAGCATATCGGTGGCGGGACAGGCGTCTGCGGTGGAGCCACCGCCGCCGCCGCCGCCGCCGCCGTTGCCTGGTTCTGGAGCTACGTCCGGCGGCAGCCCAGCTCTCCTCAGATCCGGTTCTTTCGGATCGGACGAGGCCGCTTCCGACACCGGTCGTACGATCTCGCGTCCGGGACATGGCGCCGTGAGCGCCAGCGGCAGTATTGCGGGCATGGCGGGAAGCGGCGGCGGCGGGGGCGATACGGCAATCCTGGCGTCCGGAGCTGGAGAGCGCGGCAGCGGCGCAGCGGCTTCGCCGTCATTCCGGCGGCAGCAAAGCGGCGGCGGCAGCGTTGCGGCTTCACCATCGTTCCGGCGGCAGCAAAGCGGCGGCGGCGGGGCCCTAAGTGTCACCTTCAGTACCCGGGCCTCCGTTACCAGCTCCAACGGCAGCCATGTACTGCCGCCGTACGGCGGCGGCGAAGATTCGGGATCCCAGGGCGGTCGTTTGTTGCATGCAGCGCACGAAAGGGCCAGCGCCGGCGGCGGGAGCGGCGGAAGCGGGCGGCGCCGCGGCGGCGGATGGCTGCGGGGCTTAGGTTCCTGCTTTGGCGGAGGTTCCTCGGATCGACTGGTTGGGTACCACGGCGAGGACGACTTGGCTGTCGTGGCCATGCAGCGTCGGGAGGTAAGGACGCTCTCGCTGTAGCTGTAGCCCTAGCCTTAGCTGTAGCACCGCCGCGTTGGCATCTCGGCCTGGGTTTCATCCATCGCATGCCGTACAGGTTCCTGAGCTCGTCAAACTTTTTGTAACCCTATTTTTCCCCGACGCTGTTGCGACGCTGTGGTATGTAATGCAAGAAAGCAGCAGTGCAATATAATATGAAATGTGTGTGTATGTGTTACATGATTGTGGGGTGCGTTCCCTGTACCTGCAAACTGCCCAATACCGTGGAGCTAAGCGAAGCTCTAAAAAGCAGGGGGCCGAGGGCTCAAGGGCTCTCAGATCGCCAATAAGCACCATCCTACCTCGCACTCGCATGTATATAGCACATATGCAGCACAAGGCCGCGAATCGCACGGCGAGCAATAAAACGCCGCCCTGGCCCTCACCCTGCCCTGCTGATACGTCTTTCCCCCTGTTGCCCTCTCGCGCGTTGTGTAGAACCTGCAGCACCAGCGCAAGGGGGGCGGGAGCTCCAGGCGGCTGTCCAAGGCCATGTCAGACACCTTCATGGTCAGGAGCTCAAGACCGATCGCAGCAACAGCTGCAGCAGCTGCGGTCGCGAATGGCGGCGGTGGCGCCTCCGGGCCAGGTGCTGGCAGTAGCCGCAAGTTGCAGCCCATGCTGTCTCTGCAGCCCCAGGTACGTGCCTGTTTGTCTGTTTGTCTGTTTGTCTGTTTGTCTGTTTGTCTGTTTGTCTGTTTGTCTGTTTGTCTGTTTGTCTGTTTGTCTGTTTGTTTATTTGTACCTATACCGCGGCCGCCTACGTGTATATCTATACCACGCATGTTTATAACTATTATATGTGCATATGCTTATGGATGCGAGGTGATATTTTTGTACATAAACGCACCTTTAAACATACACGTAATGTATATCATTACATCGCATTTGTTGCATCGCGCCACATGACCCCACATGACCTCACACATCTCACCCAAACCAGAAATCCATCCTCAAGTCCAGCAGCAGCCTAAAGCGCCGGGCGGGGGATGGCGAGCCGGCATTGGTGAAGGTGGCGAGTGCTCGTGTCGGGGCAGCCACTCGCGAGCTTACCGCTGCAGCCGCCGTCGCGTTTGGCGACGCAATGGATGCCGACGGCGACGGCAGAGGCGACGGCAGTGGCGACAGCTACGGCAACGGCGACGGCGGGGATCTGCTACTGCCAGGTGTAGCCGCCAGAGCGACGGCAGGAGTAGAAGCAGCAGGAGGTACGGCAACGGCGGCGGCGGCGGCGGGAGAGGAAGACGCATTATCCTCTCCTCGACTCGGGAAGACGGCGGGAGCCCCGTCCATGCGCGCACTGGGTGCACTCGGTGCAGGCGGCGGAGGCGGCGGCAAAAGCACGGAGAGAGATGCATCATCGGCCCGGCCAACGCCCACCGCTGCTGCCGGCAGCGGAAAAGCTCTTACGGTGACGGAGGCGGCGGCGGTGGCAGCGTCGTTGGCGGACGACCCACCATCACAAGTCCAGTCCGGCCTGACACTTCCAGTCCAAATAAGTCCTTCCGCGGCGGCAGTGAGTCGCTTTGCTACGGCTGCGGGTAGCGAGATGAAAGGTGGCGGCGGCGGCGGCACGGGTTGGTTTTCAGACGGTTCCCCGTTGGGAGGTGGCTCCGAAACCGGTTCACCGGCTAACGGCAGCGGCAGCGGTAGCATCGGCAAGGCCCTGCTTCGCAAGTCCAGGTCACTTCAGTTAACTACACATGCACGGCTTGGCGGCGGAAGCCTAGGTACGACTGGACTGGCGGCGGCGGCGGGGGGAATGCTGGAATCAGGCACCGTCGGCAGAGCGGCCCCGCCGGTGGCAATTTCGGCATCGGGCGTGCCGCCCGCTGCCAGCAGCTGCGGCGGCGGTGACGTCGCCGGTAACGGTGGCGAGGTCTTCGCCAGCCGGCCTTCGCTCGTACAAAGGATGATCACCCGACAGCTCTCTAGAGGGGCCAGCGGCGGCGGCGGCGGTGGTCCTGGAGGTACTCGCAGCAGCAGCCCTGGGGCCGCTGGGGGCAGCGGAGCCGGGAATTCCCCGATGGGCCGGGTGACGTCACGAAATGCCGTACTGCCGCTGCCATCCCTTCAAGTGGGCTTTGGGGGCGCCAGCGACCGCGGCGCTGAGGAAGGAGAGTCCGTGCCGCCGCCGCCGCCGCCGCCGCCGCTGTCGTCACAAACGCCGCGGAGCCTAGCTTCCTTCCGGCGTTCAGCGGCAGGCGAGTCAGCGTCGGCGGCAGGATCGGAAGCTCAGACGCCGTCATACCCGTCGTCGCCGTCGTACCAACAGGAATCCTTGCCGCGGCGCCGCCCGGCGAGCAGGACGAGCAAGCTGGCGGCCGGCGTCGGCATCCAGCAGCTGTCGGAGGAAGGTGCTGCTGATTGCTTTGACAATCCGTTGTACATCAAAGCGGAAAGGATGACGGCGCCCGCCAGGCAGCTTGCTGGACTGATCGGAGCGCTGACGTCGGCGTCGGCGGAGCTGTCGTACCCGTCATCGCCGATGGGTGTCGGCGTAAGCGATCGGCGGAGGCGAGTCACGGTAGGGGGCCTCCAGATCGCGACTAAGACAAACGGCAGTGACGTTGACGGCGGCGGCGGCGGCGGCGGCGGTGGCGGCGACGGCGTTAGCGCACCGGCGCCATTACTGGGTAACTTGCCGGCCGGTTCTGAGTCCGGCCGTTGGCGCCTGCGCGTGATGCACGCCATGAAGGATCGCGCGGAGCTGCCGTACTCGGCAGACATGACGTCAGGATCACCGTTGGAGACTCAGGCGCCGGCGGCGGCGGCGGCGGCGGCGGCGACAACGGTGATGGTGGCCGCAACAGCTGCGGATGGTGGCGGGCAGGCTGGCCGCGCTTCAGTACTCCCAGCCTCGTCAGCTCCTTCCTCTACGAGCTCCCTAGAGGGCTACATGACGAGCATCGCCGCCAGTCTGGGCGCCACGGCGGGCTTTAACTCCCACATAGGTGATGCGGACATTGACGACGGCGACGGCGACGGCGACATTTTAGGTTACCTCGACGACGGCGGCGGCAATAGCGCCGGTGCGGCTCACGGCACCGACGGCGGCGCCGACAAGCAAGGACACTGGCAGGAGTTCGATACACGACAGGCGCGGCGCATGGTAGCCACGGAGCTGATTCGAATGCGGTCTATGGGATTCGAACCGGGGGTCCAAGTGGAGCATTTGGAGGTGGAGTCTGGTAAGACTTATGCAGAGGTCGAAGCAGCGTCTGGACAAACGGCGCCGCGGCCGCTCCTGGACGTCGCGGAGCCTGCGGCCGCCGCCACCACCGCCGCCGCCGCCGCCGCCGCTGCCAGCCCCGAAGGCCTTACGTCGCCACAGCCAGAAGGCGACAGCGGCGGCGCTGTCGCTACAGCCACCACTGGAGGTGCACTGGACGCACCCGAGGACTCGCAGATTCCATCATCACGCTTCCGCCTGACGAAGTTCTACAGCCTTGGCCGTACCGTACATCGCCCGTCGGACAGCTCCGAAGGACCGCTTGTACTACCATTACGGCAGCAGCGCCCGGCGCTGGCGGCGGCAGCGGTGGCGAGCGCGCAACTCACAGCCGCCGCGCTGCGCGCATCGGCGGAGGCAGCGCTGGACCATGCGCGGCACGTAAGCTGTAACGGAGGCGGCACCCCGAGCATCATCACACCGGCACCCGCCGCTACCGCCTCCGCGGCCGCGGCTGTTGCGGCCGCCGCCGGCACCGGCTTCAATGACGCGGCCCCAACCTTGACGGCGGCGGCGCCGCGCGACAGCCTGGAATCCTGGGTGCGAATTCACAGCCGCCGGTGCGCCGCCGACAGGGGTACGGCACTAGGGCCGTTGGATCCGTTGGACGAGCTGTCGGAGGTGACGAAGTTTGGAGCGCCGCCTCCGCCTCCGCCTCTGTCGCAGCCAGCGGCGGCTGAAACCGCTGGTGAGCCTGGGCCGCTGTCGATGCCGTACCTGCGGGGCGCCGTACCACAGTCGCTGCAGCGCGGCGGCGCACGCCTGAGTCCCGAACCGGCGGCGGTCCAAATGTGGTTGCACCGTAACGACCGCTTCCTGGTTCCGGAGCAAGAAGAGACCTCGGAGGCCCCACAGCTGCCGCTGCGGCAGCATGGCGGCCTGCGGTACGGCACCAGCGGCGGCTCCGGAACCACAGGTCTTCCCGTCATGCGTCAATCCTTACCCGGGAACATGCGGCTCGGAGCCCGGCAGTAGCACAGAGCAGCAAAAAAATATTGTGCTGAAGAACGGGGCTGGGGGGCTGGGGGGGGCGGGCCGCCTTGTGACATCCCGTTTGAAGATTTGAACTATGCAATTTCTGCGAGGAGAGCGCTGGTCTGCACCCGTCCAGGACCACGGCTCGCTGCGGACTATCCTCTGCCAGGTGCCCTTTGGTCATCTTAAGGTGGTGAACGACGTTGCCGCTCAAGTCGTTGCCGCCACTGCTGTTGCAGCGGTCGCTGCTGTATCTTTCCTGCTTTCTTACTGAGTCAGCTTATTACTACAGTTGTACGTACGACAGGTGTTCGTCGGTTGGTAGGTTCGGTGGGTCGTTTTCGGAAGTCAAGCAAGGCCCCCCGCTGAGTCCCGCCAACCTCCTAAGAGGCCACCTCGGCAGGGTCGGCTTTTGGTTTACGGCGGTTCGGGGTACTGTCCTTGGGCGTCCGGTCCTTGCGTAAGTGGTTTTAGTGGTTGTGGGTGTAGTGATTGTGGTGGTTATTGTGGTTGTAGTGGTTACAGTGGTTGTGGTGATTGTGGTGGTTGTGCAACACAGGTGAAGCAACGAGTCGCACTCATCCCAACCTCCGATAGCCTCCTCCTCCTCCTCCTCCTCCTCTTCTTTCCACACAATCCCAAGATGACTTTGCACACCGCAATATCCATAAGGTTCTTAGGGGCCGTGTCGGCTGGCAGTTGTCCATTTCACATCTTTTGCATCACCATGTGTCATATGATTTCACCGCTTTGGATTTATTTCCAAAAAGCAAGTCATGTTGCTTATAGATTTGTGGGAACAGCTACACATGTCAAAATAGCTATGAGCGCGGCATAGTGCCCCTGGAAACATCCAGGATCGAATCTGATTAGGTTAAGGTTTGAAATCTTGAAATGGAGAATCCTTCCCCTCGTAAATCGACAGGGATGACTTCGGACCTGTGAGCCGATTCGGAGAGGATTTGTCGCCGCCGTTCATCCAATAAATGTATTTTTCTAGGTGTTGTTGTACTTGCTGGGCGCTGAGCCCGAAACAGTCGACATCTATCTTCGCAGAAGTCGGCAAGGGAGGGCACGTGGGTGATGTGAAGATGTAGGTGGCCCCTACCTAACACATAGCGGTGGCAGGGGGGAGTGTTAGGTAGGGGGCAGCTCCTAACAGCGGGCTAGTAGTGGCCACACACGCACACGTAGGTGAAGGGAGCTGTGTATCTGCCTCTACTCCAGACGACAGTCATACATACGTGCATACACGCGGAGCAGTGGACGCCGACGATTTTATATTCTTTATGTTGTGTTGTGCTTATTGTTGATGTGTGCTCATGATGATGGGATAACCCTACCTAGATGAGGGGGTAGAGGGGGACCGCATATTGTTCACCTAATGTACGACGTGGCGCTTCAGTTTTAAACAAAAGGGTTACCCCCTGCGTGCATGCCGTACTGCGTGACTGCGTGCATGCGTCTTTGGGTGTTTTGAGCGCTATGTATCTATGTATAGGTATGTATATCCGGCCGTGGCCATATCTGTGTGTGTATGAAGTTGTCAAGTGCGCCATATGCCCCTTCCCAACCGGCCGGACAGCCAGACAGTCCGCTGGCGAGACCCGCTGAAAAGAGGGGACGAATTATTATTTGCGCACCATCCAAACCACACCACACCACACCAAACCACACCAAACCACACCACACCACACCAAACCACACCACACCACACCACACCACACCACACCACACCACACCACACCACACCACACCACACCACACCACACCACACCACACCACACCACACCACACCACACCACACCACACCACACCACACCACACCACACCACACCACACCACACCACACCACACCACACCACACCACACCACACCACACCACACCACACCACACCACATCCCCCAAAGAGGGAGCGGCATACATTATTGATGTTGAGTGTGCGCGCACCCGCGCTTGTGTACATCGCGGCTGTGTGCTGCTATGGGGGGATTGACCCTAACTTTGCTCTTCTTCTCCTCTCCGCTGCTCTCCTCTTCCTCCCCCTCGTCCCAACCACCCCCAACACCCCGCTCCTCGCGCACGCTCTATGTTGAGTGGGCGGCCAAGGCTTTTTACACGGCGCTCTTTCTCTTTGCGGTGGTGGACGGCGGCGGAGCGGGTCGTGCATGCCCCAGCCTAGAAGACCAAACAATTCGATTGCTGAACTAGCTGTCAAGAAATATGCATCTACATACATGTGTGCCGTATATTTTCGTTTTCTATTGATATGTCTGCGGTAAAACTGGCTTGAGAATTAACATTACAAAAAGGAGAAAGGAGGAAGCTAATCGCGCGGACGATGTAGTCCCTGACGGTCGCGTTTTTTGCCACTGCTGCATCGTATAATCCTTTGCCTGCAACCTGTCCTCCTCCTCCTCCTCCTCCTCCTCCTTCTGAGCTCCATTCTGGGGGCCCCTCATACAATCACTCCGCATGAGGTCGGTTTGCAAAGTGCTCTGCATCCCCACCACCACTTAGACTCGGACCGCTCTACACCGCAAACTGCGTTAAGTACCTCTCGGGCCCCGCGCGGAGCCATTGCTGCGCGTATAAGGCCCCATACACGTTACAACCCCACGTCTGTGTGTGTGTGTGGGGGGGGGGGGAAGAGGGAGCCTCTTCCCCCCCAACCTAGCGCTCCATCCCCCCCCCCCGGTGCACCTTCCCACTGGGAAGATAGAGTGGGACATTCCAGGTCGCTCCGTTGTCGCGGCAGCGTTCCACCCGCCCCCGTCAGTGTAGCCCTCGTGCCGCCGTCGTCGTCACTGGCTGTCCTCAGGTGCCTTTAGCCTCGTACACGAGCTTTGCGCCTTGGGTTTGGGGGGTCATATGCAGGACTGTGAGATCCCACGACCAGATCTCCACACGATGCAAAGTAGTTTTTTCTTATCCAAGTCGTTGCGTGTAGTGTACGATAGTCGTATTCATGCCGTACATCCATCGCGTTCCTTTTGCTCTGGAACAGGCATCATCATGGTTTCCATCACCATTAAATTCCTTATCATTCCTTGTATCAAATATATAGCTCCAACTTCTACTTTATTATCGCACTAAACCGCCCTCGTAAATGTCGTGGGGAGGAACATTGGAAAAAATGCGCTCTTGGTGCGTCGGATGCCCGTCGTACATTTCGTGTGTTTTGACACCAATGCGTGGAGTGGCGTGCTGCTAATGGGTGGCAGGATCTGCCGCAGCAGCAGAAAAGGAGGTGACAATTGGCGGTACGGCAACCCCCGCGACCCCAAGAACCCCTATACGGGGGTGGCACGAACCCCGGAGGCTCTCTGCCATTGCTTGCAGGCCTCGTATGTGTGTGCGTGTGTATGTAAGTATGCATGTTTGTGTGTTTGTGTTTATATATGTGTGTGTGTGTGTGTAGACAGGGCGGTGTCAACATGTGCACGCCAGTGATGTTGTGGAGTGGAATGTGCAATGTATGTGCAGGGGGCAGATTGCTTAGGAGATGGTGTGTGGTCATGCAGGTAAAGGGTATTTGCCGTTGGATCTATTTTTTGGTGTTGAAAGCGGCTACTGGTGGGTGTGCATGATGTGTGTGGATGTGGATATGAAAGCGCATCGATCCTTTCACCTTTTCGGTTCGGGTCCTGAGTGCGCACCTGCTCCGTGTTGAGTTCCGCCGGGGTCCATCTGCGTGTGTGTATTTATGTATGTATGTATGTATGTGTGTATGTATGTATGCATGTATGTTTTAGCGCCTGCATTCAGGTAGACTTGTGGTGGACTTGTGATGCGGTTGGTGTGTTGGTGCTGGTGTCGCGTCATATACGGCTGTAGCATCGTCAAAGCATATGTGCATATGGAGGTGATGGGTGTGTGCCATCTTTTGAAAGCATGTGCCATCATCGACTGTAGCATCATCAAAGCATGTGCCATCCAATCCCGGATTCACTCAACACCCCTTCGTACCAAGCCAATTGCCTCCAGGCTCCATGCACCTCCAGCACGCCTGCCTCGCGACTTCTTCGTTGCTGGCAGCTTGGCCAATGTCTTTCATAAATATAGTAATCTTGTGCTTCAATCAATTCCTAAAAAAAAATGTAAAGCCGGTTACCAAAACTTTTTCTTTATCCATAATTGACCCGATACGTCTAATATCCATTTTAATCGAGGCATAAAATTTAAGGGCGTTACTGCTGGCAGCTTGGCTGCCAGGTTGCGTTACCTGATCCGCACACCCTCCGTTTGTCTGTCTGTCTATCTGTCTGTCTACCTGTCTGTCTGTCTGTCTGTTGGTATACAGCATTTGACCCGGCAGGAAGTGCAGCCCCGTTCGGCAGATAGACACTGGCGGCAGCGACGCGCACATACACCTCCCCCTCCTCCCCCTCCTCCTTCCTCCTCCCCCTCCCTCTCCTCCTCCTCCCCCTCCCCCTCCTTTTCCTCAGCGACGTGCATTTCCAGTTCGAATCTTTGGTATGGTGTCTGAGCGCATCTTCGATATGAAGAAAGGCTGGATGGCTTTGGAGTCGTGGGACAATTGTGAAGGCCGGCTGGTAGGGGGCTGGCTGGCTGTGTCAGGACGAGCAATCCCTAGCGTCACGCCGGCAGCCGGCCGGCTGCAGGGCCGGGCCCTTGTACATGAGTGGTCGGTCCACCGAGTGGATGACAGTGTGCTGCTATTACGACGCTTAGGGGCGATGTGGAGGGGGGACTTCGCACCAAGAGCGTAAACAGGTCGCGATGAATGATAACAGTGATGATCACTTTTGGGGCTGCCCGACGAGCAGCGTTCAGAGCCTGGGCGAGACGGGGCATGATTGATTTACGAATCAAAAGGACTTGCCAAGGAGGCCTTGTGGCTCAGTAACTGACAATCGCGACTTAAGCTCAAAGCATGAGTGCAAAGCAAGGCGCAAAGCAAGTTTCTGCATATGAGTAATTGGGTGATGTGTTTTGCTTTTGTCGCGGGGTTGCCTTCGCCGTGCTCGTTTTTGCGTTCGAGATTTTGCAGCCTCAGCTGTACTTTTGATAACTACCTATTGTACTGTCTGACCTAACAGGAGATCCTCTCGTGTGCTTTTGGATTGTTTTGAATTTGTCCTGGCAGGTCGCAATTGCCTCACATCGCTGATTGATCGCCAAGCATGCGACGACTGAAAAAACCGCTGTTTACTGCAGGTTGCCATGACTTGTAATGCTCAATTCTCATACTCTCCTGAGGTTGAAGTTACAAATCGTTTTGTCTAATAGCAGCCTCTGTTAAATGTTGTGGGTTTTGAGAAAGGTAAAGGTAGCTCGACCTGACCCTACTTTGCCAGTAGCTGCATATTGGGCGGGCGGGGCGTTCAGGCTGACGGAATCCTACATCCCAACCTCACATAGTTAACACCATCCACTTTCATGGCAGCTTATGCATCGATAGGTATCCATCACACAATCAGGATACTTTGAAGCTTCAATAGTTTGAGTAGGCGGGGACCTTTGCATTTTTACAAGCAACTCAATTGCTGAAGTCGCTTCCACGCTTCTGCATTTACTTGACACGTCTAACGATGATTTTATTCGTTCATGAATTCGCCCGCACGGGCCTTTAATTCTACGATTTTCCTTAATGTGAGTCATGGGCGTGAGGTTAGCCGAGAACTTTGGATATATATCTATGAAATGAAAACACTCATTACGACAGCGAACAGACCGCAGTGTTAACTACGTCGGGCCTGGGGCGTCTCATCCGTAACCGACGGCGCCAACAACCGTACCGACTTGACTCGGCCAACAGTCCTTCCTTACCATCGCACCTACAGCGAGACCGCAGGACGACTGAAACTGGTACGCTTTCTGCTACTGCAACAATAGCTGCACCTTGCGCATTTTTCAAAACGGACGACGGAGATGAGTAGATGGTCGCTCCTTGACATCTCGCGTAGTCCTTACCAAACCCAAACACATTCAGCGGCACTTCACTGCGTCTGCATGTCACATGAATGCACGTCTCGGGCAACGCCCAGGGCTGGGTATCGGGTTGCCGCGACGCGATGCGATGCGATGCTGAGTGGTGGCGCGGCAGTGCACCTCACAAGTCCTCGCCCTCGCCTTCACATTCCACCTCCACGGCCCCATCCTTCTTACCCTACAGCAACAACAGCAACAACAAGAACAACGACGCGACATCATCATCACCAGCAGCAGCAGCAGGAGCAGGCGCAGTACTACCAGCATCGTCCCCCCATCAGAAACATCGGCACCAGCGGCACCGCATTCTCAACCTCCCATTTCCACCTACCGACACACGCAACATAGACATGCCTTGCCCAGTGCCCGCGGGCCACGTGTCTCCCTTCAGCAACGATTGGGAGACGCTGGTTAGCGGAGAATGCCGTACCACTGAATGGCCGCAGATCCAGCACGGCGGCATTCCAACTAGTGCAGCTTGCGGTGGTGGCAGCGGCGGCCAGTACTCAATGCAGTGGCACCACCACCACCACCTCCAGCACAATTACAGCACCACCACCACCACCGCCACCACCACCACCACCACCACCAGAACAAACACCTGTACAAGCACGAAACAACAGCCGTTGCTGCTGCGGCTGCCTCACTTCCAGCAACAGAGCCGCGTCTGCAAAGCTTCATATCAAGGCTCCGATAAAGCTGCCGAAACGCTAACCCATCGAAACGCAGCAGCAGCAATGGCGGCGGTGAGCACAAAGTGTAATGCGGAAGCCGGGGATATCCGGGACCGGGAAGCCCTGGGTTCGCACAGTCAACCCGCAGCCACGCAATCCTATCGCCAACAAAAAACACAAGAGCTACAGACACACGTACAAACACAGCTGCCACGTGACCATGCCACAGCAGGTACAACTGGTACGGCACGCTCCCAAGACAGCTCGTACTGCACGGCATCCCAAAGCAGCTGTGAATCGCAGTACGTTGCATGTGTCAATCAGGCACCGGCAGTGAAGGCAGAAATGCACGGTGCTGCCGGCAGAGGCTCCGCCGCCGCCGATAAACCGACGCGGTCGCGGCGGCAGCAGCAGCCACGCTCGCAGCCATCACTATCAAGGGTGGCGGCGGCGGCGGTGCTGCCGGCCCTGTTGGTCCTGCTGGCCTTGGGAGGCCCGGCGGCGCCGCGTCTCGTGTACGGCAGCGTTTATACTGGTACGGATTTCCCATTTGAAAACTGCGTGCAAGAGCAACGGAATTCCCCGTACTATGCTACGCTGTACAGCTACCGGGAGAACCGGCTGTACAACACGTCGACAATCTGTATTCAAGTCCGAGTGCTGAGCACATGCACACCCGGCAAGTACCGGTGTTGTACGACGGGAATCAACAAGTTGAAAGTGTTCCCAGGTAAAATTTGACGATAGGGATGCGTGGCAGTGCGGGGTGGTTTCAAAAACCGTTGTCAGTTACAGTTACAGTTGGTCAGGTGACGGTTAGTGGTTCTCCTGGGCGTCAGGGAAGCAAGGCGTATCACTTGCAGCCTCGTGAAGAAACTCGGACCCCAGTATCTTAGAATTAAAGGGTTAAGGCGAATTTCTAGAGTAATGATGTGGTTATGAAGTACATCTTGATCGGAGCTGTACGGCATTGTACGGCTAGTGTGTGTTGTGTTTTAAGCATGACGTTGATGTCTTAAAAATCCGACAATTGCAACACCCTGAAACCCAACCATCCCAACCTGCCGCCCTATATTTCGTGTGGTCTCGCAGCCCTCAAGTGCCGCGGCTCCGTCGCCAGCGCGCTCGTCAACGGCAACCTTATCATGTCGTACTATTGGGAGGAGCACAGCGGGTATGACATTCTCAAGGTGACGCCGCTGTCACAGTGGTTATCAACCCCCGAGAAGGCTGACGGCGCAATTCTGTGCCTCAATCTCCAAGCGCCCTGCTGGCAGGCTAGCACGTTTTCGTACAATTCACAGCTTCTGGAGTACGCGCTGTACGACAAGAAGGCCAACAATTACGAATGCTGCCCAACGGGCACCGTACTGTTCTCCGCGTCCGAGCCTGGGTTCCCCTCCCGCCCGCCGCCGTCCCGCATGCCGCCCATGCCCCCGGACGTGCCCAGTGAGCCGGTGGCGGCCTCACCACCCCCAAAAGTTAGGAAGCCCAAGCCGCCGCCTGCCCTCCCACCCTCACCGCCTCCATCACCCTCCCCACCGCCGCCGAAGCGCGTGTCGCCGCCACCGCCACTGCAACGTTCCCCGCCGCCGCCGACCCCCCTGCCGTTGTCGCCGCTGTTGCCGCCACCGTCGAAAACGAAAAGGCCGCCGCCGCCGCCGCCGCTGCCGTCAGCCTCGCCGCCGCCGCCGCCGCGTGGCTGCGCCGTCACCGTCATTGTGCACCGCTCCGCTGCTTCAACCCAGGGGGCCTTCACAAATGACGTCTGCACACTGTACGGCACCCTGGTGACGCTGCCGCTGTACGACGGTACGGCATCGCCACAGGCGACGTACACATGTGCGATTTCTGACCCCAGCAACATGGCTTTGAACATCACCCTGGCGACGGCGGAGGACGCCCGGGCGCTGCTGAGTATATACGGTGATGCCGTACAGCGTCGAAACATCGCGGCCTTACTGGGTCTGACTGACTGCAGCAACGACTTTGCGACACTGTCGACTAGCTGCATGCAGGACTTGGCGCCCGTGGTAAGGACGATATGTTGAGGTTGTTGGTCGTTGGTCGTTGGGAATGTCCTAATTTAAGGCAGCGGGCAGGAATTTCGTGGATGAATAAGCGGACAGCAGTCCATGCTGCGATGATCTCCTCTCATGTCACACCCACCCGTGGATAAGCGCGTAGTGGGCGATGTCTTATGCTCCAGAGGTTGAGGGTCCGGCGGTCAACTTGCAAATTTCGTGCAACCCAGGACATTGCTCTTCTATTCATGGTCCCGGTTGGTTGGGTCGTAGTTTTGGTGGTTTTGTTGGTTGGTTGTTTCACATGCTGCGACCGATCCAGCATTTGCGATTTCGTGTCGTACTCTGTATGTCTGTCTGGGACGACTCGGATCTGAGAAGGGAGTTCCTCTTCAAATTCAAATTCAAACTGGTTAGGTGGGGGCGAGGCTGCCGCGCGCTCGGCGACACAGGCTGTCCCGCGCTCCTCGCAACCCCTAACGCGCACTACCCCCGTTCCGAAAAATTGTTTTGACCCTTCCCCACGTAACAGACTATCAACTGTGCAAGTGCCGTACAGCCGCCGCCGCCACCGATCCGCAAGCGCCCTCCGCCGCCGCCGCTTCCGGGACCGCCGCCGTCAAGGGTTTCTCCGCCGCCTCCTCCTCGAGCCTCCCCGCCGCAGCCGCCACCCTCCCCGCCGCCGCCGCGAGCCCTTCCCCCACCGCCGCCACCCTCCCCGCCGCCGCCGCGAGCTCTTCCCCCACCGCCGCCACCCTCCCCGCCGCCGCCGCGAGCTCTTCCCCCACCG